TATGGGAATGAAACACTCACGCTGACCTCCAGTCTACCCCAGGGTATTATGTCGCAGAGGGCGGATCCAGCATTCTTAAAAGCGTTGGGGAGGAGGTGTACGTACATAATACTTAAGTGACGAAGCTACTTGGCCGAGGCGAAAATACCATGTAAGTAGTCTGATCCGTCAGTGTGTTGGCTGTTCGGTGCTGGTGTTTCAAAGCAAATATACAGTGAAATTGCCCTATTCAAATTCTTAGGTGATGATTCCTGTTAGTTTCAGCATATAAACACTAATCGAACACTGCCATGATAATCCGATGTTTCTAAACGATGTTTCAATGCCAAAAATATATAATAAAAACACTTATTATGGAGTTTTCTGTCAAATATACCCCTGTTCCTTTTATCATTTTTTATCAATATTTCCTCATCGCGATTCCAGGTAATATGTATAAATTTCGCCATCAAATTTCAGGATAATTCCTAAAGACATGGTACATATTTCCTGCTACACACATTTCATGTAACATGTACATCAAAGAGTGAGTGAGTTTGGTTTAAGGTCGCTTTTAACAGTATTCCAGTTATATCACGGCGTGTCAGCTTAATGTGGGAGGAAAGCCCGAAGTGATGCAGGTCTCAGACGTTTATCACTTCGGTGAAACCCACGAGCACGGGTATGGTGCTGACAAACCTAGAAACATAATCGGGGCGAACCGGGATTCGAACCAACAATCATAGGTTTCTGGCTTGCCCAAGGGACGCAACTCTGCACAGCGAATCGCGGCGCCTTAGACGACTGGGCCACCCGTGCCCCCTGTACATCACAGAAGGAACACGAGTAAGAAATACACTAAGTCAGACTAAGCTATTTTTATAATAGATCAGTATCAGTAAGTACTAGACATAATCACTTCCACATGTGAGGTGATCGGAGAATCCGGCAACAACAAAATATCAACTTTCCATTTTGTGCAAAAGTAAAATCAGTTGAAATTGTTTGATGTGTAGGCATTTAGGGCGGGGATTGTACAGGATATGTTTGTTTATTTACAGGTGGTTTTATGTGACACAAATATAAACAATCTCTCTCGTAACGGTAGCTCAACCATGTCAAACATACATCAACGATGGCCCCGAAGCGATGTCAATTAAGAATTAAACAGGGACAGACGTTTGATGTTTTCCTTTCATTTCTATACATCTACAGCAAGTCAAGTGGATGCTGTTTATGCGCATGTTCTTGGCAAGATACTTATAAAAGGCGGCTGTGCTTGTTGTAAGAGAGGCGAGGCGGGTGGTCAGGCTCGCTGACATGGTTGATGTCATCCCAATTACGTAGAGCGATGCTCATGATGTCAATCACTGGATTAAGTAAGACAAGTTCTATGGATGAACAACTTCTTTATTACAATTAGTGCGACGTTTCGGTGTAGATCCTAACACCTTTATCAAGCAAGTGATGGATAGTGCTTACTTACTTACTTACTTTGGAGATTTAACGTGCGCTTTCCGACTGATGCGTATTTCGCACACGGGTCCGGCCAGGCCATTTAATGTGTTTCCGAAAGGGGCGAAAGTGGTCTGTGCAACCCAAGAGGGGGGTTCTAGAGTTGCTTATATAGAATTTGGGAATTTTGAGATTTGGAATAGATGCCGATGGGATTGGGGAGGAGAACAAAGGGAGCTGGGTATGGTGGATGTTTGTTTGTTTATGTGATTTTGATTTGGTAGGTTATTGTGTTTTTAGATGCGTTTTATTAGTTCCGTTTTTATTAAGAATACGCCTAAGGCCTTGAAGTTTTCTAGTTTATTTTGTGGGTTTAGTATTGCTTCTAGAGTTAGAGCCTTGTTTAGATTGAGGGTGGTTTGTAATGCGGTTCGATGTGTTAGGTAATGTGTGCAGTGGATGAGTGCGTGTTCTGTGGTTTCTGGTTGTTTGCAGTGTGGGCAGTTACCTGTAGTGTGTTTTTAAAAAAAAATTAGGTGGTTATTTAGGTTGGTGTGTCCTGTTTGGAGTTTAGTGATTACTCTGTCGATTTTTTTGGATGGATGGAGAATTTTTGGTTTGGTTAGTGGTTTGCTGAGCACTTTTTTGATTTGGCTATTTGAGTTTAGATATAGGTTATGCCATTTTTTTTGTGATTTTCTGCTTGTTTACACTTTTAATTTCTGATTTTGAGATGGGTAAGTTTAAGCTTATTTCTGGGATTTTGAGGGATAGTTTAGCTGCTTTATCGGCGTTTTCATTACCGTATATTCCTACGTGGGCGGGTATCCACAAGAAGGTTATTTGTTTGCCTGCCTTAGTTAGGTCGTTGGAGCTTTTAAGTATTTGATTTATTAATTTAGGTCGGTTTTTGGTATTTTTGTTTCGGAGGGCTTGCAGTCCACTTAGGGAGTCGGTAAGTATTAGGATTTTTTTTGTGTTTTTTGGATTCTTGATTATGGAGGGCTGAGGCCATGCCCATTAGTTCTGCCGTGAATATTGATTGGTTGTTTGGGAGTCGGAAGGATTGTGTGGTTTTAGTTGGTTGTGTGGTATGGACTCCGAAACCTGTGTGTTTGGAGGTCGGATCTGAGGATCCGTCCGTGTAAATGTGACACCATTTTGGCCAATTTTCGTGTATGTATGCTAGTGTGGTAGTTTTAGCTATGTTTGGGTCGGTTTGTTTATTTATTTGGCTAGCTAGTGTTGTGTCTATTTTGGGTATTTTAAGTTTAGGGGTGAAGATATTTGATTGTTTGCAGTTTTGTTTAAGATTTTTAATTTGGTGTTCATTTAGGTAGTTTGTTATTCTTTGGGATATTGGGGTAAGTAAGGGGTGTTTACGAGCTAGAGCTTGGTTTTTGGGGCTGATGTTTTGGTTTATTAAGTTTTGGATGAGAGGGTTTGATTGGGACGCGGCCCAGAAATTTAAGCTTAGCTGTTCCCTGCGTAGACTTAGTGGCATTTCTCCTGTTAAGGCCTGAAGTGAGGTGTAGGAGGTGCCATGTTGGGTGCGTGTAATTAGTTTGAGAGCCTGATATTGTATTGAGTCAAGTTTTTTAGATAGAGAGTTGTTTAGGGTGTTGTATATGGCGCAGCCGTAGTCTAGTTTTGATCTAATTAGTGATATGTAGAGAGAGAGGAGGGTATCTTTGGATGCTCCCCAGTTAGAGCCAGTTAGGCATCTTAGGGTGTTTAGGTCTTTAGGTTTTGGATGTGAGCATCCCAGGTGAGATGTTCATCGAAAATAAGTCCTAAGAATTTGGTTTGTTTTTGAAATTTGATTGTTTGATTGTTTAGCTGGAGGATTGGGGAGGCGGGTTTCATGTTTTTATGTTTGAATACTATTCCTGTTGTTTTTTCTGAGTTAAGGGAGAAGCCCCATTTGTCAGCCCATTGTTGTATTTCATTAAGAGATTTTTGGAGTAAATTTTAGACCATGCTCATGCTTTTAGTGCGGATCCATCATCCGCGAATTTTGATGTGTTTACTTTAGGGGATAGGCCCTCGAATAGATCGTTTATCATTATATTGAAGAGGGTGGGGCTGAGGATACTGCCCTGTGGAGTACCATTTTCTAGGGGACATTGGTCCGATAGAGTTTGGTCTATACCCACGGTTATTTTACGATTGTTTAGGAAGTCCTGGATGTAGTTTATTATCTGACCTTTGAGTCCTATTTTTTAAAGTTTTTGTATTAGCCCATCGTGCAATACCATGCATGTCGAAAGCTTTAGAGAAGTCTAAGAAGATGCCTGTGGTATATTGTTTATTTAGTTGTCCTGTCTTAATATCTTGTTCTGCGCATGGATAGTGCTAAACAACATAGGTATATATACTTATTAACATCAATGTTTATACAGTAAATTGATTGATGGACACAGAGAGCTGATTAAGATAATGGAAGCAAGTGGATGACTAATGGGACAGGGTAAACAACCACGGAAGCTGATTGGGATGATTAGAAGCCAGTGAATTAGAAGCCAGTGAATTGTCTGGATTGCACTGGATTTTCTGGTTCAGATTCGATTATTTACAGACCACCGTCATATAGCTGGAATATTGACGATTGCGGCGTTTAACAACAAACTATCAAACGTGTATCCTTCAAAGTCTAAGTTACGACCACCGCGTATTTTCGAGAGAAAAAAACATGCGTTAAGCTGAACATGAAGATACGACAACTGCGTGAATAACATCAATGAAATTAGTTCACTTGTCAGTTCATTTAAAACTCGGCTGATTTTAGCTCTTCATCGTTAACTTGCCCGTGAGACGGTCCCTATAATCCTCTATCGTTTCACCAAACAACACGCTTCATTGGTTTGCCGACCGTAAACAATGTGAGCTGGCATTCCTGAAGTTCTCGTAATCATGAAGTAATCAAGTGCCGATCTCCTTTAGAATTTGGAATAAATTGTATATCAACTTGTGCATTTGCCATAGTGGAATGCTGTTTCTTGTCTGTAATACCTTTTATACACTTATGTTAAATTGGTTCACCAGTGAGCGTTCTCTCACTTGTATTCATACATACTAGATATAGCTGTGTGATTGTGGTTCAGCAATTTTGTTAGATGTCCCTCTTAATCCCCCTTTTTCTACCAGTCACCACACTTAGGCGATTTTATATCTAAAACAAAAAGTGCTGGACAAGTAGAAAGACCCCCTTGGGAGCTTATCATCCTGGCGATTGGATATAAATTGAATTAAATTGGCTATCTAAACATTTAAGATATGGTGATAAAATATCACCTAATACAGAGAATATGTCTTCTTTACCGCGCAATAAATACTTGTTGAACAAAAAAAAAAATTAAAAACTACTTGATAAGTAATTATGCCTCATGTCCTACATGCAAAATTATTAACTTGGCCTGCGAAATATCTTAACAATCTGTTGTAGTACCCCAAAATATGTTTTAGTAAAGAAAACCAAAATGGAATGACCGCACAAAGATCTCTGAAAATAATCCAAACAGCCCACCCAGAACAAAAACTAGTCGGTCCCCAGGGACATCGTGAGCATGACACTAACAGCCACTGGTGTCGTCACGCTGTATGGCAGAGCCGACTCTGACGCAGCCACGGTGGGTAGCGAGTTCGTGTGTGTCGTGAGAACAGTCTCCCTCAGGCATGGAGATACACCACACCAGACGCCCTCGGTCCCGCGAGCCCAAGCCGGACTACCACCTACCTGTGAGTGTTGACTAAACTTTCATTTGTATACGGAAAAAAGTGCTGTCAATCTTTATTTCACGTACTGAAGAGGCCACAGGCCTATAGTACAATTTGAGGAATATACAATTTTATACAACTTATGTATATATCTCACCAAATCACCTCACGTCATTCCACATCGCATCTCAACACAGTCACATAATTTCACACATACAGTACAATACCATACCCTGTAATTTCATAATTTCTATTTTACCATATCATAACTTGTTATATCATACAACATATTCTATAACATCATATCATATTGTAAAAAAGTGCTGTCATAACTTTATGTCGGAAAATTACTTACTCAAAATACACGTTCGTATTGATTTTGCGTCAGTGTACACCAAGTAAGCTGTTTCGTGCTTTCATATACTAGTATTTGATGGGGACGATATGGGTGACTGAATGATAATTAAGCGTGCGTTATGACACATTAGGACCCGTGCCATGAGCATACAGAGCAGGATAGGACTTCGTAACGTATCGTAGACGTGTTCATATATAACCCAAAAGATGTAAAAGAACACCCTATCTTTTCATGGTCTATCATTGTTATGCTATATTCCTATGAAGAAATGGGTCTTCTTTAACTTCTTTTGAGTAGTATATAATAATATGTTTTCCGTGCGTGAATCATTACACCATGTCTATCCAGAAGCACTATAATCTCCACGATCTTGTCCGAGTAGTTCTCCAAGCGAATATAACATCGATATGCGTCAATACATTCAGCGCACACGCTTTGCAGACGCTAATAGAGTCATCACAGCAGGGCGTACAACGTCAGATGTTCTGATAACTATCAACTCGACGTTTTTATGTATGAAATATAAAAACTAATATTCATGCTGTTTCTTCTTTATCGCATATGAATTTAAGGCCATATCAATTTGATGATACAACTTTGTTCATATGTTTCTCAATTAAGTACTCAACGAGCAGCCAGACCCGTGAAGATCTGGGGTAGAACAGGTCTTCACCAAACCATGCTTGCCGTAAGAGGCGACTATGCTTGTCGTAAGAGGCGACTAACGGGATCGGCTGGTCAGGCTCGCTGGCTTGGTGGATGCATGGCATCGATCCCAAATGCGTGGATCGATGCTCTTGATATTAATCACTGGATTGTCTGACCCAGACTCGATTATTTACAAACCGCGGTCATATAGCTGGAATATTGCTGAGTGTGGCGTTAAACAACAAACCAACCAACCAATCATTCGATGTGTTTCGCATAGCACATCATATCTGAGGCTTGAAAACATGATTATGCGTTTTCATAAATTAACGCCGTAGTTGCGTATTCAAAAGTATCCCAATTGCGTGGATCGAGTGCGACGTTAAACAACAAACAATCAACGAGAAGCCATTTGATATTTTTTCTTTTATGTGGAAAATGTTATATGCTCGTCGGTTCATGCTGATAGTTTAGTTTGTTGGACGTCGAGAGAATGAAATCGCCACGCCTGGCTGAACTACAATAGCAGTCTGTTCAGTCACCCATCACGGAATGCCAGTGTGTCACCTCTAAGTCCCAATGTACTGTATAACCATTCAACCATACGATTGATATAGGATTGTTTGTTTTGTTTGTTGTTTAACGCCGCACTCAGCAATATTCCAGCTTAATGTGGAATGAATTACCGGAGAATGTTCAGTCAAAATATACTGTTACGTCATTAAACTGGGTGTATTAAATATGCAGATAGCAGCGGGTGACGTTTGACCTTGATTTGATCTTTACGTTTTCACCATGCTTTTATAGTCTCTCAAAATTAAACGTCATCTTCCTCGAAACTTTCAGACTGGGGAAGCTAAACTTTGGCATGGGTGTTTCTTCTTGTGACATCATATGTTTTTTTGTTGTTTTTTTAAGAAATATCAAATATTAAAAAAATACAAAACATTCAAAAAATTTCTGAATGTTAAAACTACCAAATACACTGCCGGGCAAAAGAGAGAAAACACTCATGTTTCATGGTGACTAAATATGAAACAAACAAGAGTGAGTGAGTGAGTTGGGTTTAACGCCGCTTTTAATAGTATTCCAGTTATATCACGGCGTGTCAGCTTAATGTGGGAGGAAAGCCCAAAGTGATGCAGGTCTCAGACGTTTTCCACTTCGGTGAAACCCACGAGCACGGGTATGGTGCTGACAAACCTAGAAACATAATCGGGGCGAACCGGGATTCGAACCCAAAATCATAGGTTTCTGGCGTGCCCAAGGGACACAACTCTGCACAGCGAATCGCGGCGCCTAAGACGACTGGGCCCCCCGTGCTCCCCGAAACAAACATGAGATGGTACTTCGATACTGCTGTATGTGATACGGGCATCATCGTTGTGTTCTGGGCCTTAGGTTTGCAGTGTTTCAGCGACAGTTTTCAGCCTGTTAACTTTTTGATAACGTTTGTAATTTTGTGGGTCACCTCCACGTGTATACTTTCTTTTGTCCGACAATTTTATTCAAATTTAAAAACAACCAAACGGTTCAAACAGTTTATTTTCAAGAACCACGACACCAGGTAGACATAATTTATGGATAACACTTCTTTAATACTGTAAAAAGCGACGTTTCGGTATAGATCATTATACCGTTGTCAAGCAGTTATAAGGATCTATACCGAAACGTCGCTTTTTACAGTACTAAAGAAGTTGTTATCCATAAATTGTGTCTACCTTGTCACCCGTCAACCTTTAAGTAATGTCTATCAAACTAGTTACCACGACGCCATTGTATGCCTGATGTTGGATATAAGATGATACACGGCGCTACGATAGCCATATAACTTCAGTGGACGCATACGGTGTTGTCAAAACAAGTTTTTTTTAATTTTGTTCTCATAATCCATCAAAACAATGTGCTGAATCTCAGCATTAAGGTTAATGTCATAAATAAGGTTTAAGTGTCAGAATTATAAATATAAAAATATTTGTTTTGTTTCACTGCTGCAGACTAAGAAGCATGATTGAAAAGTAGGCTCTTTTAAATATTCATTATGCATGCCAAAACTATTTGGATAACATTGACATTATCAATATTTGTTACGTGTCTGTCTTTGTTGCCATTTGATACGACTACATATCCAGGTGAGCTACAGTGCCATGATACAATGTTTACGTTAATGTCACATACGGAGATTTCTGAAGAAGAAACTGCTATGGTGGGGATTGCTACAAAAATACCCGATGACCTTCACAACGGTGAAAAGGTGACTGTTGAGAAGGCTGGTGTGTTGTGATTGTGTTGGTCACTACTTACGTCCTCCTGGCCATTATGGCCGGGGTGAATGGCTGACCGATCCCTACACTGAAAACATCGACGGTATTACCTGTGCACTAAACCACAACGACCACTGTCAATGTGTAATGGCTAAATGAAAACATAGCTGCTGCATGACTAACTCCATCTATCGTCATTGTGTGAGTTAAATTAGAGCTGTATGTGACAACACGCAGGCTATCTGGATGTCAACACACGGGTGAATGGTAAATGCGTCACGAACCTTGGGGTTTAATCAGCTGGAACTGTTGTTAACTTTGTGCTCATAAACGCCGTTTTGAATCAACATGTCCACTTGTAGTCCTATTAGTGGTATGATAGTGAAAGCTTTTAATTACTCGTGGAAGCTGATAAGTACACTTTACCACAACCAATTTGAAGAGAATGACTCTAGTGTCAAGTGATGCGCTTTAACCACTAGACAACCCCTCCCCTAAACGTCCCCCACTCAAGTTCAATCACCATATATGCAATACACTTTATGAAAATTTAGTTCAGCCTATTTTATCGTATGAATCGGCGCTATGGGGGTACAAGGCAATTCAGCTGCATTAATTCTGTTCAGAATCGCGCCTGCCGTTTTTTCTAGCCGTGGGCAGTGAAATCTCAAATCTAGCTGTCCGTGGTGATATAGGCTGGACCCTTCCATTGACAAAACAGGGTTGACATTTTACGGTTCTGGCACCTGCTGCATTCTGTTGGTGAAGCAAGAATACTTAGTGCCATTAGCAGATGGTCCCAAAATTTCAGGTTTGGTTTGGTATGTTTGTTGTTTAACGCCGCACTCAGCAATGTTCCAGCTATATGACGGCGGTCTGTAAATAATTGAGTCTGGAACAGACAATCCAGTGATTGACATCATGAGCATCGATCCATGCAATTGGGATACGATGACATGCATCAACCAAGTCAGAGAGCCTGACCACCCGATCCCGTTAGTCGCCTGTTACGACAAGCATAGTCGCCTTTTACGACAAGCATGGGTTGCTGAAGACCCATTCTACCCCGGATCTTCACAGGTCCCCAAAATTTCAGAATGTCTTGGTATAATCGTCCAGTTTCTTTAATTACTTCCTGGCAACTGCCCATTGCAGATATTTTCAACATTTCATTAGCTGAATTTTATCATGCTAAAAATTGCTTAACGTGTTAAACATCATTAGATTATCAAGATTCTAGTAAACTACGATCAGGCACTCTGCCTTTGCAAATTTCAGTTGGGAAGGTTTGCACGCCCAAAAGTCCTCTTAGAAAATAGAATTTGTAATTTATGCAACAGTAATAGCATTGAGCATGAAACTCACTTTTTGACCTGTTGTTCATTCTATTCAGATTTTAGGTATGACCTTTGGAACGATGTAACTGTATTATATTCCTCTTTTCTACACCTATCACCAGTTGACCAGTTCAAATATCTTATGCTCAGCTCTGATGTGTGCCAGCCCCTCGCCGCACTCATATCTAGAATGTTCAGACGTCGAAAGTCTCATTTAACTACTTAAGTTTTATTTGTTCGTTGGTTTGTGTATATTTTGGTGTGTGTGTTATGTATATATGTGTGCAGGTGACGTGTGCGCGCGCGCGTGTGTGTTAGCGGTGAGAGAGAGAGAAAGAGAGAGAGAGACAGACAGAGAGAGAGAGAGAGAGAGAGAGAGAGAGAGAGAGAGAGAGATATCCCATACATAGCGACGATCATGCATGTGTGTTTGTGTCTGCTTGTACTAGTCCGGACTGATGCTGATTTATAAAGCTAGCACACTGAAATCCATGCCGCAGCTTAACATGAATACCCCACTCAGATACAGTATACTGACTCCGAGCCGACCAGTCCTTGTTTTATCCCCTTAAGGCCGAGCGCCAGACAGGGTAACAACAAGTACCATCTTTTAACGTCTTTTGGTATGATGCGGCCGGGGATCGAACCCCAGACCTTCCGCAGAATAATCCCTAAAAATGGCTTCTTAAAATATTACCACTATTTTTTCTCCAGAAATCCAAGGTTACCCCCATCAATGATAATGATAAAGAAAAAACACCTGGCAAATGTGTCACGTTCTTCACATACTTCGCAGAAAGTACGTCTTTCATGGGAATACCCAAGATATGGTCGTCGCCGCGACTTGTATTCAAGGTAAGCAATAGCATAGTTTTCGAGTAAATGAGCATGTAGAGCAGAGGCATCATCAAATCAGCCAGGTCCCATCTGAGAAGTGGCATTTAAAGGAGAGAGCACATCCACATTCGCTGTGCGGAGTTACTTACCAGAGACCTATGATCATGGGTTCGAATCTTAGATTCGTCCTGATAATGTTCCTAGGTTTGTCAGCACCGTTTCCGTGGTAAGCGAGTAAGTGTGAACGTCTAAGCCCTGCATCATTTGGGCTTTCCTTCCACAACTGAAACACTGTTCGAAGGCTTTGACCCAACTCTCAGTCATACATATTATACTGAAACACAGCTGAACTGCAAATTCAGAAGTTGACCTATGCATGCTTGATATCGTTTATGACCTATTCTACCAATTCCATCAAGAACATAATAGCCACTCGTAAGAACTGTTCCTATGACCACTGTCTATTTACAGATCATGTGGACGTTGTTCTTCCTCGGCGCAACGACAATGATGATCATCCAGCTAGTCGAACTATTTACGACGTTCTACAGTTACCCCATCAAGACGTCGGTGAAGCTTGGCTTCACTGCTCTCCCCTTCCCCGCCGTCACCATCTGCAACATGAACCCCATCATGTTGTCCAAGGCTCACAAGCTCAGCTGCATTCTTCAGAAAACCCTCGACCTGCCCATTGAACACCAGAGACTCGTACGCTATTACCGGTGATATATTACCTTAAAACTTGGGTTGGGGCGTTTCTTCCCTTGGAGTCTCGTACGCTATTACCGAGATGTATTACCTTAAAACTCTCTTTCTTGGGGCACGGGTGGTTTGGCTTGGGTTGTTTCTTCCCATGGAGTCTCGTACGCTATTACCGAGATATATTACCTTAGAATTCTTTTTCTGGGAGCACGGGTGGGTTCGGTTGGGGTGTTTTTTCTCTTGGGTTCTCGTACGCTATTACCGAGATATATTACCATAAAAGTCACTTTCTGGGGGCACGGGTGGGTTGGGTTGTGGTGTTTCTTCTCTTGGAGACTCATACGTTATTACCGAGATAAATTACTTTTGAACTCTTTGTGTGGGGGCACGGGAGGTGGGTTGGGTTGTGGTGTTTCTTCTCTTGGAGACTCATACGTTATTACCGAGATAAATTACTTTTGAACTCTTTGTGTGGGGGCACGGGAGGTGGGTTGGGTTGTGGTGTTTCTTCTCTTGGAGACTCATACGTTATTACCGAGATAAATTACTTTAGAACTCTTTTTCTGGGGGCACGGGAGGTGGGTTGAAGTGTTTATTCCCTTGGAGTCTCGTACGCTATAACCGAGATATATTACCTCAAAACTTACTTTCTGGGGGCACGGGTGGGTTGGGTTGGGTTGGGTTGTTTCTTCTCTTAGAGTCTCGTACGTTATTACCGAGATATTTTACTTTAGAACTCTTTTTCTGGAGGCACGGGACGTGGGTTGCGGTGTTTATTCCCTTGGAGTCTCGTAAGTTATAACCGAGATATATTACCTCAAAACTCTCTTTCTGGGGGCACGGGTGGGTTTGGTTGGGTCGTTTCTTCCCTTGGATTCTCGTACGCTAATACCGAGATATATTACCTTAAAACTGTTTTTCTGGGGGCTCGGGTGGGTTGGGTTAGGGTGTTTCTTCCCATGGTTTCTCGGAGCTGTTAACGTCAGGTTGCCAATTTCAGGTCCTTCCTCTTTTTGATCTTTGGTCCATCAACACTGTACTACATTAATGGGTTTCTCCAACGGGTCATATCTCACATGAGGGTTTACTGCCGCATTAAGGCACATAACTCACACAACTTATTGCAGCGTTTTGTCCGCCTTGCCCATTCCTCAAAGCATTTTGCTTCTGAAAATAACTTATCACGTCTCTATCAGTTCGCCATAAAACATGAAAACGCTCCCAGTAACTCCTAATGTCCGTTGTGAACGTTGACATCTGAAATATCTCTGATGTTCACTGTGTTATGTTCTGTGTTGGCGTTTGTGGGCGGGGTAGTATTTTGAATAAAATGATTAAAATATTTAATCCAGAATAAAAACGGTAAAAAGGGTTGTTTACCTCACGTGCAACAAATCATAAAAATATGTTGGTGGGACTTGCTAGATGAGAACAAAGTGGTTGAAAATTTATTTGTCATGAAGCAGAAACCGAAACATAAAATTCTCCAACAAAATGTATTACATGTCAAAACAGAAAATTATATATAATCTGGTCACATCAAACAAATTATGACCATCTCTAGCCATCATGTCTATACAGGCCTGTAGCAGTAGCAGAGGGGTTCTCTAACCATCATGTCTATAAAGGCCTGTAGCAGTAGCAGAGGGGTTCTCTAACCATCATGTCTATACAGACCTGTAGCAGTAGCAGAGGGGTTCTCTAACCATCATGTCTATACAGACCTGTAGCAGTAGCAGAGGGGTTCTCTAACCATCATGTCTATACAGACCTGTAGCAGTAGCAGAGGGGTTCTCCAACCATCATGTCAATACAGGCCTGTAGCAGTAGCAGAGGGGTTCTCTAACCATCATGTCTATACAGACCTGTAGCAGTAGCAGAGGGGTTCCCTAACCATCATGTCTATAAAGGCCTGTAACAGTAGCAGAGGGGTTCTCTAACCATCATGTCTATACAGACCTGTAGCAGTAGCAGAGGGGTTCTCTAACCATCAAGTCTATACAGACCTGTAACAGTAGCAGAGGACGTCAGTCAACCTCCTCCATAAATCGTATTTTTATTTTTAACTTCTGAAGGAGTGTGTGAACCTGACCGACACCGTGGACCTCTCCTCCTTCACAGAGACGGAGTACGTGTGCGACGAGGACGGCTGTTATGAGGAGGAAGCGAGTGGTCTGGACCAGTTCTATGTGAGAAGGGAGCTCATTGCCAACTATCTGGCAGCAGAAGAGATGTAAGAAAAAACATTCATGTCTTAAATCATCAGCCTACAAGCTATACTCATTTAAAGAAGTAAGGACCATCCGATTCTTTCATATTCCATGACATACCATGACAGATTAATTATAGTGATGTGAAAACATGCCATACCATGCCATGACAGATTAACTACAGTAATATGAAAGAATGCCATGACATGACAGATTAACTATAGTAATATGAAGGAATGTCATGACATGCCATGACGGATTAACTATAGTAATATGAAAGAATGCCATGACATGACAGATTAACTATAGTAATATGAAGAATGTCATGACATGCTATGACGGATTAACTATAGTAATATGAAAGAATACCATGACATAACAGATTAACCATAGTTATATGAACGAATGTCATGACATGCCATGACAAATTAACTATAGTAATATAGAGGAATGCCGTGACATGCCATGACAGATTAACTATTATAATGTTAAGGAATGCCATGACATACCATGACGGATTAACTTAAGTAAAAAACGGAATGCCATGACAGATTAACATTATAATATGAAAGAATACCATGCCATGACGGATAAACTATAGTAATATAAAGGAATGCCATGCCATGCCATGACATATTAACTATTATAATATGAAAGAATTTCATGCCAGATTAACTATTATAATATAAAAGAATACCATCACATGGTTGATTAACAGAAAGAATCTGGTGGCCGTTAATTGCTTTCATCAGTACATATGAGCTTGTGATTGTGTCATTGCATGATGGTAGTCAAATCTGGAAACTGGCATCTTCAAGGATTAAGTGATTTTCTGTTTGGTCAGATTTGAGTCTAAAGGTACTTGTCATATTAGACAACGTCATCTGAGGAGAGCAGGGCGTTTTGGAGCAGCTTGTGTAATGTGTTATGTTCTCCTCCTCAACACATCACTTGCAGCGATCTTCGGAAGGACGTCGCCCATGACCTTGAAACCATGCTGATTGAGTGCTCTGTCAATGGACGAAGTTGCGATTCCAGGTAGACACAGCTGAAATATACGTAATGATAACAGTAGAAAGACAAGCACACGTTAACGAGAGACCAGGAGACTCTCTGAGACTCTCTTTCCAGTCTAGGTCTAGATTAGTGCCTTGTGTATATTAAGACATTGCTGCTACGTAACAAGGATAGGCGGTTTTTGTTTGATTGATAGGCATCTGACAATTTGAGTAGCAGTTGAGTTAAAACATTTTATTTTGGCGCGACACATTTTATTATGTGGGTAAGGTAAGTTCTTATGTAACCATGAATAGTGCCAGTTTTTATGGCGATCACAGCCACAAAAAAAAACAAGTATAAGGCTGTAGGGATTCCGATTTGTTGTTACCGGATGCAGCACATGTATGTTGTGATGGTATACTTGTATGTTGGTGAAACAGAATCGAGTTAATGACGGGTTATTGTAGCGCTATGTTGTACATTGATGCCGAGAAACCGTGACGAGTGGACTTGTCTTAGTATGCATAAAACACACAGGTGGTCCTTGTACCTCTGACATGATCGTTCAACCTTTTCTTTCCAGCAGGTTTACGACGTTCCTATCTAAAGATCTTGGCAACTGCTACACACTGAAAAACAAGGGGATCCAGGCCACGAAGAGCGGACCAGAGTCAGGTAATTAGTAGGGAAATAACCCGCCCGCTGTCAGGTTACGATGACCGTAAACCAGGTGACAGACCTGACCGTCCAATGTCCATGGGAGACAGCTGTAGCTACATGGACAATGTCCTGGGAGGCTTTTAACCTGATAGGGGACGACCCCCATCCATCCACCCGTCCAGATCACTTCGACCAGGAGGTTTACACGTATTGTCTGTTCCACAATATAGACTCAAAGGCTATGGATACAGATCTTTCAGAACAACTGGGCCTCGTCTGTGGAATAATCTTCCTATTCATCAAACTTTTTGAAACTTTTGAGTCTTTTAAATCACAACTCAAAACACAACCTTTCCGTGGAGCATATGACTTGAATGAGACACATACGTCGGTGGAGAAACTGTCATGGGACACTGTGCCACGTGCCACCAAGACTTTACGATTCTATTTATATCAATTGATTTATTGTTTAACTGCATTCGTCACCACTCGCCCCTTTCCGTAACCTGCAAGAAGACTCGTCCCCCTATCGATGAATGTTATGTGCGAAAATACGACAAACCAATCAGAATGCGCGTATGATTTTAAGTACTTCGTCAAAGAATCCCTCAGAAATAATTTTAGATTTTTCATATGTCTTGCTTCTAAAATTATACCCAAGACGCAGTTAAATGTGTTCAATCATACTGTATAATTCCGCATGTCCCGATGTGCTTTAAATTGCATCTGAAATATATATAATGTATGGGGAAATATATGTGAACCATTACGCAACGAATTGACAATTGTTTTAGGTGTGCCCGTTTGCGCTAAGACGGAACCCGGTCGCAAAAATGGCCACGAGAGGGGCACGAGTCGCTATTCGGCTTGTCCCGGAATAACACGAGTTGGTCACGAATGGTTTAACTGTAGCGATTTGAACTTTCATCGAGTGTATGGAGGCTAGCGCAATATAGGTACTCATTATTATTATTATTATCATCATCATCATTATCATTATCATTATTATTATTATTAAGAGGAACATGTTTCTCTTCTGTACGAACTGCACTTCACTCTTACCCCACGGGGACTCCCGACTGGGATAAGGACTGGCGGACGAGGTATTGGTGGTGGTGATTATTGCTTCGTGATCATGTTCCTGTCTCACATAAGAAGACTCCAACAGATTGGTGGTCTGACTCCGTGACTTGGTTGATTGTCTGTTATTGTAACCCGACGGCGTCAGACGTTTCTCATTACAGTAAACTACGGTTATAACGAACACGCTTATAACGAACTGTCGGCTATAACGAACACACTTTTTTGGTCCCGACTATTTGCTATAGTTATGTTGTATATATGCTTATAACGAGCTACGGTTATAACAAACTAAAATAAGTAGTCCCTTTGAGTTCGTTATAACCGTAGTTTACTGTATATCAACTACTGCTTTGTTTGAGCAACTGGAGTATTAACAGGCCGCACTTATCAAACCAGAATATTGCTGACTGCTGCGTTAAACTACGTTCACTCACAACATCCTAGTGACTTTATGCGTATCCGAAATATGTGTTAACTAAAAGGTATTATCATTCCTCAAAAAGATCACAGTACATATTTTGGTCATGATTCTGATTTAGAAACAAAACACTACAAACAGTAATCTTACAGGAACTTTGAAATACTGGAATGATTTGCAGCTTAAAGTTACAGTTAAGATAATGCAACAGGTCAATGCAAACATCGTTTTATTTTTAAACGTTATAGCCAATCAACCACCCAGTTTTAAACAACAGAGTTTCGAGAAACAGAATAAAGCTTTGGCCATATTCAATACAACCTAACCCGTCAGTAAGATTTAGATTGATACTAGAGATTGATGTCACGTCAGAACGACCTTTCGCGAATTTGACCGACCACTGAAATGACTAACAAGAAGTCGACATCAGCCAATTAAAAAGCAGCTTCCTCGAGCTTCACGGCACTCGTTTCAACCTGGCGACTTCATTTCAGACTACGCTTGAAAAATATGTTGACACCGTTCTCGATTAAAATTTTGAAAACTGAATAAACGAACATCCCAGGATGTCTAATATATGGTTTATATTGTCTGGCAGTGCTTCCCACGTACTGTGCAACGCCTCCTCCGTTCAAATGTTTGACCCACCGAAGAGAGAGAGATAGACGATAAGTTTGACGGAATCAGCCGTACGGGCGTAACTGTCGTTCGGAATACCCCGTGTTAACGTTTTCCAGTTGCATGGTTAGAAAACACATTCCGGCTGTCACTTTCACGATCTGGTAAGCGACGCTTTGATTGGTCGGGAGAAAGGTCGTTCTGACATGACCCGTAATGGGATGTCCTCAGATCTTTGTTTTTTCGATAGCGAGAACTAAGATCTAAAATTAATGAGATTGGATCATTGATGTCCTAATTGCCATAGAACAGCTCGGCAGTACCACCGACCATGTGCTGTTGCACAATTATATTTGTTAAAATTGCTTTTGAAATTAATTATGTAACTCTAATCAGAGTATCAGATGCCTACATGTACGCAACAAAAACATATTAGTCCACGTCTGTACTGATAATTGCCTGATTCTCGTTTCAAGCGCTGGCTCATAATGTTGGACTTTTAAGCCATTGTTTGAAATGTTTACACTTTACACGTACCCATCTGACCGACCATTAGCTGTGTTGACATTTCTGATTTATCCAAACTGTATTACTTATATACATACAGATCATGTCAGGCGAATGTTCCTCCTCAAAGCTGCTAGCTGAACTGTCCTTATCCATCAACATTGTCCTCGAAAGTCTGCCTGGTTCACTGTTTGTAATCCGCTCGATGGACGTGTGTGACAATGTTGTTCTACCCTAATGCGTGTTTGTATATTGGGTGATTAATAATTGCTTCTTTGTAAGAACATTCATATATATGAATAAGGGGACACTTAGTTTAGATACAGTAAAATGATATACCATCATGGATTCCCAGCCTTGTCTAACAAATACGCTTTGGAAACAATGCACACATGACGCGTGTTGAATTTGTATGCGCGCTGTTTCAAATGTAAAGACAATAGCCTATATTTGTTCCCTTATTCGTCTCCGTCAGTATGTGTATATTCCATATAAAGTGGCTAATCACAAAAGGAAATCATACATCTTTTTCATAAATCTAAAACACATCTGTGACGTGACTATTGTTTAAACGATTCATTATTTCAAACGAATGGACAAAGTGTTGTCAGTTATTCATGCCTGCATTACCCGAGGGGCACTTATTCACATAGGGTAAGGTGACCCAGTCGTCTAAGGCGCGTCTATTTGCTGTACTGAGTTGTATCCTTTGGGCACGCCAGAAACCTGTGATTGTGGATTCGAATCCTGATTCGCCCCGATTATGTTTCTGGGTTTGTAAGCATCACGCCCCTTCTCGTGTGTTTCAATAAAGGGGTAAACGTCTGATACCTGAATCACCTCCGTCCTACTGTTTAAACTCACTCACTCACTCACTCACTCACTCACTCACTCACTCACTCACTCTTATGTATAAGCCGACAGTTACTTGTTCTCTAACACAGCATCAACAATAAACTGTTCAAAGATCTTTGAACCAAGTTACGGTGACTTATGAGAAGCATGTCTTTGTTTCAGTAGATCATTTTGTTTTACCAACATTCTGATAAAATGCAACCGTTTACACAGTTTGCGGAACTGTTACTCTCAACCGGTGAAATTATAATAGCGATGTTCGTGCTTGGGGAGTGGTTACACGACGAGATGGCTTGAGTACATTCTGTAATCTGATTTGGTTGTCTTATTCTGACGGCGTTGATCGTTGCAAATGATATCAGTCACTGGTTTGTCTTGTCCAGACTCGATTATTTACAGGCCGCAGTCATATAGCTGGAATATTGGTGAGTGTGGCGTTAAGTAAAAATGAAACATCCTAAAAACTCTAAAATCTGATCGTAATAAATATATGTTCAACATACAATGTGTGTGGATGTTTCTACCAGGTTTATCGATGGTTATCAATCTGGAGGCTGAGGAGTTTATCGACACTTTCAAGACGGGGTACGGCCTGCGGGTGGTGATACACGACAACGGGACACGCCCCTTTCCCGGGACAGAGGGCTTCACGGTCTCAGCAGGTTCTGAGACTAGTATTGCAATGAAACTGGTGCGTCTCTGTCATGTACACTTCCTCTCCCTTCTTGTCTCCGTCCTCATCCCCATCTTCGCCTCTGTCCTCATCCCCTTCCTCGCCTCCCTCCTCATCTCGTTCTCACCCCCGCCTTCTACGTCCGCTCCGCCCTCGTCACCTTCTAATCCTTCGTCCTTATTTCCATCCTCTTCTCCGTCCTCTCCTCTGTGTTTAGATGCGTCTTCTCCTCCGTCATCACCTGCGCCTTCTCCGTCCTCTTCTCTGTGTTCGCATGCGTCTTCTCCTCCGTCATCACCTGCGCCTTCTCCGTCCTCTTCTCTGTGTTCGCATGCATCTTCTCCTCCGTCATCACCTGCGCCTTCTCCGTCCTCTCCTCTGTGTTCGCATGCGTCTTCTCCTCCGTCATCACCTGCGCCTTCTCCGTCCTCTCCTCTGTGTTCGCATGCGTCTTCTCCTCCGTCATCTCCTGCGCCTTCTCCGTCCTCTCCTCTGTGTTCGCATGCGTCTTCTCCTCCGTCATCACCTGCGCCTTATCCGTCCTCTTCTCTGTGTTTGCATGCGTCTTCTCCTCCGTCATCACCTGCGCCTTCTCCGTTCTCTTCTCTGTGTTCGCATGCGTCTTCTCCTCCGTCATCACCTGCGCCTTCTCCGTCCTCTCCTCTGTGTTTGCATGCGTCTTCTCCTCCGTCATCACCTGCGCCTTCTCCGTCCTCTCCTCTGTGTTCGCATGCGTCTCCTCCTCCGTCCTCACCTGCGCCTTCTCCGTCCTCTTCTCTGTGTTCGCATGCGTCCTCTCCTCCGTCATCTCCTGCGCCTTCTCCGTCCTCTTCTCTGTGTTCGCATGCGTCTTCTCCTCCGTCATCATCTGCGTCTTCTCCGTCCTCTTCTCTGTGTTCGCATGCGTCTTCTCCTCCGTCATCACCCGCGCCTTCTCCTTCGCTCTCTGTACTCTCCTCTCACGCCTGCTGCGTCTTCTTCTCTATCTTTATTATCTTAAAGTCTCAGCCTTCTTAATCGCATTTGCCTTTTTTTATGCATTCGTCTTTGCCTATTTCGAAAGTACATTTTTCTGTGGATTTACGCCTCATTCGGAATATATTTTTGTACATACGTGTTGAGTAAATTTTCCAAGTGTTGGAGCAGACACCACTGCTTCGCGACCGCCTCCGTGGTCTAGTGGTAGAGCGTCCGCCAGGAGAGCGGAAGGTCCGGTATTCGATCCCCGGCCGCGTCATACCAAAAGACGTTAAACGATGGCACGTGTTGTAACTCTATCTGGCGCACGGTATTAAGGGGCTAAAACAAGGACTGGTCGGCTCGGAGTCAGTATACTGTGTCTGAGTGGGGTATTCATGTTAAACTGCGGCATGGTATCTCAGTGAGATAGCACTATAAATCGGCATCAGTCCGGGCTAGTACAAGCAGCCACACACACAAACACACACACGTATATGCACGTCGCTATATAAGTGCAATAATCGTGACGTGTACATAGTACTTTGTTACTGTTAATCTGTTTATCACAGGTAACAATTGAGAGACTGGGGGGCAAATACGGCTCCTGCAATGACAGCGACATTTTCAGGAGAAAGTTCGGCGTGGCTTACACAGAGCGGGTGAGTATGGGCGTGTATTAAAGAAATGAAACTATATAACGATACGATGCACGAGACATGTGTTACATAGACTTTCTGTCTGTATGACAGTTCTATACTGTGCTTGTGTTAATGTGTTAGCGTTTGGTAGCGCGTGTTTGTGTGTGTTTGTTAATGCATTAATGTATGTGTATGCATGTGTGTGTGTTTTAGTGTGTTAGTGTATATGTATGTGTGCTAGTGTGTGTTTTTTGTGTGTTAGTATATATATATATATGTGTGTTAGTGTTTTTAGTGTGTTAGTGTATAAGTGTTAATATGTATGTAACTGTGTGTGCTTTAGTGTGTCAGTGTATATGTATGTGTGCTAGTGTGTGTTTTATTGTGTTAGTATATATATATGTGTGCATTAGTGTTTTAAGTGTGTTAGTGTTTATGTGTTAATATGTAACTGTGTGTGTTTTAGTGTCTTAGTGTATATGTATGTGTGTTAGTGTGTGTTTTATTGTGTTATATATATGTGTGTGTTAGTGTTTTAAGTGTGTTAGTGTATATGTGTTAATGTGTATGTAACTGTGTGTGTTTTATTGTGTTAGTGTATATGTATGTGTGTTAGTGTGTGTTTTATTGTGTTATATATCTGTGTGTTAGTGTTTTAAGTGTGTTAGTGTATATGTGTTAATATGTATGTAACTGTGTGTGTTTTAGTGTCTTAGTGTATATGTATGTGTGTTAGTGTGTGTTTTATTGTGTTATATATGTGTGTGTTAGTGTTTTAAGTGTGTTAGTGTATATGTGTTAATGTGTATGTAATTGTGTGTGTTTTATTGTGATTGTGTGTGTTTTATTGTGTTAGTGCATATGTATGTGTGTTAGTGTGTGTTTTATTGTGTTATATATGTGTGTGTTAGTGTTTTTAGTGTGTTAGTGTATATGTGTTAATATGTATGTAACTGTGTGTTTTAGTGTGTCAGTGTATACGTATATCCTTGTGTGTGTGTGAGAATGTGAGTATGTGTATGTGTTAATGTATATATATATATGCATGTATGTTTGTGAGGGTGTTTTAGTATGTTAGTGTATATATGTGCATGTGTATGTGTGTGTTAGTGTAGGTATATGCATGTATGTGTGTGAGTGTGGTAATGTATATAAAAATGTATAAGCATGTTGGAGGAGTAGTCAAACATATTGTTTCAACCGCCCGCCCGCCCGCCCTAAATAGTTAGATTTAGTTTTTGTCGTTTGAGAGAAATCGCAAACACGTTAATTTACATAACTCAAGTGATTTGTTGTCACACATATGTTTGCTTAAATGGTGTTTATATGGTGTCGTTTACAAGGCTTGTCGGGAGTTTTGTCAACGCAGTCTGGTGATAGAAAGATGCAAGTGTCTACCAGAGGACGAGAGTCGAGTCAACTCCTCTTTCAAGGCCTGCACCACCAACAAAGGTAAGTAGTTGAGAGAATGGTGGGTTTAGTGTAAGTGCCTCATCAATGCCTATATCATGATCTGCACCCCCAACACATTAGAGAAGTGGGCTAGGGTAAAGGGCTTCAAAATCTCTATCGAGATGTGCACCTCCAACACATGTAGAGACGTGTGTGCTAGGGTAAGGGGCTTCAAAATCTCTATCGAGATGTGCACCCCCAATACATTAGAGGAACGTGGGTTAAGGTAAGTGGCACCAATATCTCTATCAAGATATGCACCCCCCACACACGTAGAGACGTGTGGGTTAGTGTAAGGGGCATCAATATCTCTATCAAGACATGCACCCCCAACACATGTAGAGAAGTGTGGGTTAGGGTAAGGGACATCCAAATCTCTATCAAGATATGCACCCCCAACACATGTAGAGAAGTGTGGGTTAGGGTAAGGGGCACCAATATCTCTATCAAGACATGCACCCCCAACACATGTAGAGAAATGTGGGTTAGGGTAAGGGACATCCAAATCTCTATCAAGATATGCACGCCAACGTAGAGAGGAGTGGGTTGGAAGATGTCCCATCTTCACTGACGTGGCCCGCATCACCACCATCAGGTGTGGAGTTAACCTATCGAACCAGTGATCATTGTAACCCATTAAATGTCATGATGTTTCGATTTTGACTAATTTCTTAATAGTTCCGTTAATGAACGAACCGACAAGCTGTATATATTATTTCTGACAATCAAAATAATAATATATGAGTCACAGTGAACTGATTTTCAAAAATAATGTGGATGTACATTATCACCTTCAGAATGGTCCTGTGAGGACCGGGTACTGAACAAGTATGTAGTGGACAGCAGTAGAGGAGTAGATGTCTGCAAGTGCGGCACCCCTTGTCGGTAAGTACTCTCTGGGTGATCTCTTGTCAGCAACAGTGTACCACAACGCTTATTATTATTTTTTTAATATATTTATTTCTCAATTTTGTTCTTTCATCGCGCGCGCTCGTGTGTGTGTGTGTATACCTAGCTATCTGTGTGTGTGTGTGTGTGTGTGTGTGTGTGTGTGTGTGTGTGTGTGTGTGTGTGTGTGTGTGTGTGTGTGTGTGTGTGTGTGTGTGTGTGTGTGTGTGTGTGTGTGTGTGTGTGTTCCCCACTTCATGTGAAAGATGCATTTAAACCCACGATCATAGGTTATTGGACAGCACATTGCAGCCTCTTAGCCGACTCTGCATCCCGTGCCCTCATTCATTCATTCATTCATTCATTCATTCACCCTGTTTTAGTAAATGGTTGGTCTCAATTACGTTATTTTCTAAAGCAGGAATAAAATATGAATCAATATACTGCTCACCACTATTATTATTACATAGCTGGACTACTACTGAGCATGCTGAGTGCGGCATCATACAACAAAGAAACAAACACTGTAGTTTTTTAGTTTATTCTTTCCATGGAAATTATTCGTGCTCGGAATAAAACGTATTGATATATAATATAGACAAGGAATTGCCGCAGCACAGTCCACCTGTCTCGTCTGGAAGAGCTCTGTGTGTTTGTGTCTCCTTATGTTGGTCAATAGTCTTATTTCACACATGCATCTCGTGGCAGTGCTGCTAGGCGCACAATGCTACCAGGTAGTTGGTTTGTTGTTAACGCCGCACTCAGCAATATTCCAGCTATAAGACGGCGGTCTGTAAATAATCGAGTCTGGCCCAGACAATCCAGGGATTGAAGTCATGCACATCGATCTACGCAATTGGGATACGATGACATGTATCAACCAAGTTAGCGAGCCTGACCACCCGATCCCGTTAGTCGCCTCTTACAACAAGTATAGTAATGTGTTACGGCAAGCATAGGTTGGTGAAGACCTACTTTACCCCGGATCTTCACGGGTTTATCAGGTAGTTGTATGGTCATGCTGCAGTAAGTAATGTTATGTAACAGACACATTTTTGTGTTGCAGAGAAAAGGTGTATCAAACCAGTATCTCATCCAGACAGTGGCCAGTTCTCAGACACGTGGTACGTACATACAAATATTCCTTTTCTACATCGCAGGGTACCAGTATTGTGACAACACATTGCAATCTGCACGCTGTATTCAAAACCTTTGTGTTACATGCTTCGTGCTTCGTTTCATCATCAGTCATCCCTTGTGACACTGTTGTTTTTTTTATCAGTGTATATAAAATCTATAAATCAATTCTGTCTTATTAGGTTTTACATGCTTAAACAGACCCGTGAAGATCCGGGGTAGAATAGGTCATCAGCAACCCATGCTTGCCGTAAAAGGCGACTCTATGCTTGTCGTAAGTGGCGACTAACGGGATCGGTGGTAAGGCTCGCAGACTTGGTTGATGCATGTCATCGTATCCCCGATGCTCGTGATGTCCATCACTGGATTGTCGGATCCAGACTCGATTATTCACAGACCGCCGTCATATAGCTGGAATATTGATGAATGCGGCGTCAAACAATAAAAAAACAAAAACATGCTTAAAGAAATATGTTAATTTACGTTGGGGAATATCTGTTTACTTGGAACTTTTTATAATTTTATAGTGAATCTCCGTAAGGTGTGAATTGGGAATCAGCGACACAGTCCCGCTTTTAACATTACTGGCTTACAGACTTTCGTCTTATTTATCAATTTGAAAATGGTTCTATTCGAGATTTTTTTTTCAAAAACTTATCAGAAACTTTGTCAGTTGCGTCGTTTGTCAGTTTTGAAGAGTAGGTGCCAATGGTTTGATACTTATTTCACCCATATCAATGCGCTAACACAGTGGGAACACTAAGGATGGTTATTCATGAAGATCCTGGTTAAAATTGGTCTTCAGCAACCCATACGACTAACGGGATCGGATGGCCAGGCACTCTGACTTGTTTGATGCATATCATTGTATCCCACTTGCGTATCTCGACGCTCATGATGCCAATCACTGGATTGTCTGGTCCAGATTATTTACAGCCCGTCGAAATATAGCTGGAATGTTGCTAAGTGCAGCATGGCCAATCAAACAAACAAGCGTAACCAAGGATTGGTTACATACCCATACATGCAATTGAAGAGGGTATTCGGCATGAGGAATGATTACCAGGCATCCATAAAGTTCTGTAGCGTTAAAATTGTGTACTTTCTCTCCTTGTCTAGCGGGCGTTAGAACAACAAGCATGTAAAATCGATCCTAACAGCCCAAAGTGCGACTACACCAGCTACGACTTTGACAACATCGACTTAAGAACGTGAGTAACATACTCGTCGAATGAAAATTCGAAGTTTCTTTCTTTCTGAAACACCTTCTCAAAAAGGTGAGTGAAGGGGTTTTGACGTCATAATCATACATCTATCAGGGTTAAGTTAGGATGAAGGGGAGGTTCCTGATCCCACCCCCAACCTTGGCTGTGCAATGTAATCAGACCTGAGTGTGTGAGCAGTATCAACATGTCGGGAAGTCCTATTGATGCTTTTATTCAGGTAATGAGGCCACCGGCCCATTATACACGTGCAGAGCATGATGGCATACAAATGTCACAGAGCGCTGAATTATAAGATTTACAATGCAGTGTTCAAACTGTTAATATTGGGGTTAATTATATGACACAGGTATTCCCTTGAAAATGGAATTTCGTTTCTTACCAGCAAGAAATACATATTTTGCTAAATTGTTGCAAATACTTTGATTAGTCGAGCTGAATAATAAGAACATTTTCTCACGACTTGGAAACATGTGATAATAATTGGGTATGAGATTAGACCGCAGATCAAGATAGAACGGACACACCATACAAAAGTGGAACTCATCTTCGATAGCACTTACAACACAGAGGGGACAGAAACGTTTATGTCTTGGTATATTATGATATCTGCCTGTTTCAACCATAAGACGATGATTGGATCCGAGAAAATTCAAGATATTAATTCGAAATAATGTTACATCAATTAATCGAATCCAGTTATTATATGAAAATTTATCCCTTACTGCAGAGAACAATTCAGGCTTAGAACAAGATTCACAATTATTGTGCAACACTTGATTTTCAATGTCTACGCTCCTTTGCCCAAACTGATGTAAGAATAAGTCAGATCTACCAGGAAGTATTCCATAGGCTTTCGGGTGGCGAACAAATGCTTTCACCATTAGGCTTTTCAGCTACCCTAAACATAGACAGATATCAAGGTATTAACATTTGGAATAAGAATATCACTAATATCTTGATGATTAGAATGAGTTTTGTGTTTCAGATCGTCCTTCTTAAAACTGAAGGTTTATTTCGACAGTTTGAATTTTGAAAGTGTGAAAGAAGAACCTTTTTATGATGTAAGTTATTAATCAACATTCACACACTTTACCTGCTATGATTATGCATCATTATTTGGCACCAATTATACACCAAGATTGTAGCTACACTATCATCATCATCATCATTATCATTATCATCATCATCATCATCATCATTTTTATTAATATTTATATTAGTAGTAGTAGTGGTAGTAGTAGTAGTAGTAGTAGTAGTAGTAGTAGTAGTAGTAGTAGTAGTAATATAATGATTGTTTTTCTCTTTGTGTGCAACAAAATGGTTTAGTGGTAGTAGTAGTAATAGTAGTAATAATAATAATAATATTATGGTTGTTTTTCTCTTTGTGTGCAACAAAATGATTTCTGTACTTACTGCGCGAGAGAAAGAGGACGGGTAAATCAGAATGAGAGCCACAAAGAGGGTGGAGAAGGGCATGTAAACTTTATGTGACCTTGAGGGATAGCTATTGAGACAAGAGTACAAGATCCCAAAAGGGCAAATTTGGGATTCGAACACGCGACCAGTAGATGGTAGCGCATGAGTGCGTGAGTTGGATTAAACCAGTGCGTCAGCCGCAAGTGGCCCAGGTCTTAGATGTTTAACACTCTGGTGAAACCCACCAGTACGGGTATGGTGATGACAAACTTTGTGACTCAATACGAGCGAACCCGGGGGTCAAACCCATGATCGTAGGTTTCCGGTACGGGATGCAGTTCTGTACAACGAGGCGACTTGGTCACATATGCCTATTGGCAGCTTATGATCATATATATGTGTAAGCAGTAGTAATTAAGCTCCATCACAGATCAACTGAATACATATATTCCGGCACTTTATCTGTTCCAGACTGAGCGCTTCCTGTCCGATATTGGTGGCACCATGGGTCTGTGGATTGGGGCGTCTGTCCTCAGTCTGGCCGAGTTTCTGGAAATGTTCCTCGAGCTGTTCTTCTGGTGCATCTGTCCAAAGTCAAAGTAACCAGGAAGCAAATGTCAAGGCGGAACGACCCTGTGGTCACGGGACTTAGCTGGTGGTGGGAATAGCTGTTTCTGTTCCTGTCAGACTATAACTAAGGCTGTGGTGTTTTTTATTGTATCAATATGTGAACATGTTGCATGTGAATTAGAAAACAGGAAGCAAACGTTGGTATATACACTGTATAAATACGCTGGAACGTAATTGATTCTATTTGTTATTGGTCGTATTATTATCCACAGTTTCATTTAAGATGTATATCTACACATTTTTAAAAAATTGCAAAATACATAACCAATGAAAACACGTACAAAGGGTAGGTGCGAAAATGAGATACAACGGATATAACGAACTGATTTCTCTGGTCCCTTGTTCGTTATATCCGTGTTCTACTGTAGTTTTTTCAATACTTATGGTATCCTCATATAGAGTCGAGTGATCCCCACGTAGATATTTCCAGCAACGCAAAGGCAAGTAAATAATTGAAATATCAAATACAATAAGCTTCATTTATAACAAACACGCTTATAACGACCTGATACATATAGCATAGTTTTTGGTCCCGTCCATTTGCTGTATATAAGCTGTACATATGCTTAGAACGAACTACGGTTATAACGAAATGGTCTCTTTGAGTTCGTTATAACCGTAATTTACTGTATATATAATTCTACTGGGGAAATTGCAATAACTTATAAGGGGCATTTATATCTATTTCGTTGTCTGAACAGGTAGCGATCAGTGGTTACAAGTAACCTAATGTGCTTGTCATAAAAGTCGACTAAAATGGATCTGGTGGTCAGGCTCACTGATTTCGTTGTCGTGTCATCGTAACACGACAGCGTGGGACTTTGTTCATAATATCAACCACTCGTGTTCTATATGTCTTTCTATACTCGGTTATACACAGGCCACCGTGATATAGCTAGAACATTGCTCGCTGCGGCCTAAACCAACATCAACAACATCAGCAACAACGACATCAGCGACATAGGAATGCAAACGACGTGGAAGTGACACATCATACAATGTTACATTCACGGAACAATGTACATGCAAATAGTAGATATGACTATATAATGTAGTTATTACTTTTGTTGTTCTTGAAGGTACATATTTATGTTCTCTGTCTCATAACATGTATTCATCTGATGAAGGAGTAAGCATATACTCCGAAACGTTGTGTTCCTCATAATAACGAAGTTGACATCCATATATTCTCTTCCTTATGTGTATCACTTCTAGATGCCTTTCAAAGACTAAATATAACTGGCAAGGTTTATGAAACAAGTATGTATTGTTCGAACTAAACCGCCGGTCGAAAGAAAGTATACACCGATGTTTAAAGGTGGCGAAAATGAAACAAACTAAAAATGTTTTTTTCGATGGGGATGTTTGATAGGATATTTTGATAAGTTGTCAGTGTTACGGTGACTAACGGGATTCTAACGAGGGATAAATAACTGTAATTCATATAAAGTTCAATAAAAATACATTTATTCTGAAATCAAATAATTCACTTTTCAATACATATTCCTGAAGACATCTCCTCGACTGTAAGGTGCGCGCCTCTACGCATCATGGGTATACTGCAATCAGGAATGGCACGAAACGAAGTTGACATTTTAATGCTCACAGTGGTATAACACTATATTTTATCTTTGGAGACTTTATTGACAGAAGGACAAGACTCATGCAACGGGTCGTCAGCAAGAAAACCATATTCGGTTGGTGCATGTACGGAATCGATACCAAACTGCCACATTAACTGTTCGGACAATTTTTGGATGGGACCATTTAGTGACAGAACCGTACGCTACCAGTTGAGGAAGCACAACATCCTGTCCCGACGTCCAGCGATACGGTTAATCAGGCAAGCCTAGCTTGGTGTAGCATCCGTCGTTCTGGAGACGAGAATTGGGGAGTATCTGTTTACAGATGAGACGAATTGTCGTCTCGACAGCGCTAATGGTCGTGCAAGCGTCCAGATGATCGTCTTACGGACGCTTGCGTTACTCAGCGTCGTCTGCTGGGGTTGGAAGTGTAATAGTACGGGGTAGCATCAAAACTAATGGTGGAATACAACTAATAATTTTTAATGGCAATTTAAATAGCGTACGGCATCATTCGAGATTATGTTCCTCCCTTTGCGCAAATTTTGAAGCAGCAGGATTTTGAAGCATTATAACATTGATGTACAGCTATGGCCGGCTGATTCACCTGGCCTCTCCCCCATAGAACATGTCTGGATTGAGATGGAACGATGCCTACGACAGGACCCGAAGCAGCCTGTAAAGCTAGGTTAGTTGGGCCAACCTTTGGTTGACCTTCAGAACAACATCTCCAAGGCTTTTTCAATCATCTGGGCCCACTTGCACAAAGCGATCTTAGCGCTAAGACTATCGTAAGCCTATGTTAAAGTATGGGAGTAACGATCATCTTAGCGCTAAGATCGCTTTGTGCAAGTGGGCCCTGGTGTTTTCAATGCACCGCCGCTGCCTCGCCTGTATCTACGCACAAGGTGGAAGCATCTTTGACATTGACATGGTTAATTTAGTAGTTACACCATCTCTCTTTTCGGCCGTGTCGCGCGGTCTCTTGTCACAAGGTATAGATTCTGTCAGTGAATTTGTTATGATGCATTGATCAGACAAATGACCAAATATTATTTTGTTTTTTCAAATAACATTACAACATTTACACCACATTGTATGAAGCACAGCTACTTTTTTCCGCTAGTATATTTTACTGTGTGCCGTATGTTGTATGCAGAATAAGATATTTGGATGTGTTTTAAGAGGGGCACGGGTGACACAATTCGTCGCAATTCCCTGTGCAGAGTTGCGTCCCTTGGGCGTGCCAGAAACCCCTGATCGTGGGTTCGAACCTGATTTTGTGTTAGTGGTTTGTCAGCACCATACCCGTTCTCGTGGGTGTTAAACGTCTAAGACCTGTCTAAGATCTTTCCTTCCACACTGACACGCCGTGATACGCATGTCATGTTGTCATGTCCTCGTGGATGCACGCCATGTCCTCATCTTGCTCCAACCCGTGCATTTGTACAGGAAACATATCACTTCTTTCTGGGGTGACCAGTAGGATCACCCGATTCACATATAATAAAAATATTCAGCGTCATCGTCCTTACGTGAGGGATATAAGGTTTGCATGGAGTAAACTCGCATCCTACCTATCAGGTGAAGTTCTCGAATTCTGATTGGTCCGTTAGACTGAGTAGCGTAGCTAATCAAATTGGCAAATGAAAATCAAGGACGGTTAATTTGAGATGGCGAGAAACACGGGAATGGGTCTGGGCTTTAGAATAGGTTGACCGAAATTCGACCCCTGGATATATAGAGGATGGGTTTAACGTTGCGTTCAAGATTATTGCACTTAAATAGCGACGTGGAACTGTCCACCTTCTGGGAAAGAAGGGGCGGTCGGGTAGCCTAGTGGTTAAAGCGTTCGCTCGTCACGCCGAAGACCCGGGTTCGATTCCCGACTTGGGTACAAATTGTGAAGCCCATTTCTGGTGTCCCCCGCCGTGATATTGCTGGAATATTGCTAAAAGCGGCGTAAAACCATACTCACTCACTCTGGGAAAGAAAACAGGCCCCTGTAATCTATGCTTGTTGTTATAGAAGACTAATTGGATCAGGGATTAAATGTCATCGTATACACATTGCGTGGATCGAGGATAATATAATACTTATCAATCACTTGACTGTCTTGTTCAAATTCGAGTTTCCACCTTTTGTTATCTAAATACTTTTCCTGTTCTCACTAGTACATATATATGATCTCTGCTTCATAGCATTTATTCACCTGATAAAGGAAGTATATACTCCGAAACGTGTGTTCCTCGTAATAAAGACTTTTACATCCATTAATTCTCTTCCTTAGCCACCATATAGCTGGAACATTGCGGAGTTGTCTTAAAATGCAACATCTGACCGCGTCATACCAGATAACGTTAAAAGCTGGTACTGACAGCTAACCTGCCTGGCGTTCGGCACAAGGGAAATAAAACAAGGCATAAAGGAAATAAAAAATCGGAGTCAGTATAATGTGTCTGAGTGGGGTATCCATGTTAAACTGCGACGCGGTATCTCGGAGGGCTAGCACTACACAACTTGGATAAGTCAATACTAGTTCAGCCAAACACTAAACACGCTATATAAGTGCAATAGTCTTAAACGCTGGTGATAGTATTTGCCTGTTTCCTCTAGCCAAGTGATGGTGCATCTACGTCCGTCTCCGTCTCATACGGGTCGTGTCCATGTAAAATCAAGCAATACATAAATGATGATAGGCTAAAATTGAGATTCGTTATGTATGGATCAACATTTCATCACAAGATGCACATCTTCGTGTGACGGATTAGAAAACATCGTAAACGATTATACATAAATTTTAATAAACATAATAACTTGAAAACCAGGATGAAAAATCCTGCAAATAAATCATGTGCAAACTTCACGTGAAGGGCAACGATAAATCACATGAATAAATAAATGTGTGTCATAAAAGGATTGATTATGACCGATCCTTCTTCAAAAGTGCGCTAGTGCTATTAAATCCTTAGGCAAATGTTCCTAAATAACAAACATCAAGACATGATTATATATATACTCGTAAAAAAAAGAAACGCAATACGGATATTTTTGGCCATAAAAGCAGATTAAGTGGGCCAAGAGGTGCATTATGAAGAGGTTTGATGTGTTATAGTGTCAGTGACAAATTTCCCGGATCAAAAATGTAAACCTTTAGTCTGGATCTTGTACGATTCGGAAATAAACGCCTGGTCATGACAAAAGGGTCATGGAGCTGCACGAACCGTTCCACAAAGCGTAATTCCATTCATACGACCACGTTTTCCAAATCATCTTGTGCTGAATAAATCACATTGACAACAACAGCTATTGCCAACATCAATTCATTTAACAGAATTGGTTCCTGGTGACTTCGGAGTGAAGCACCAGAAAAACATGGCGAGCAGGATTTCCAGGAACTCGGCCAGACTGAGAATAGATGCTCCAGTCCACAGGCCCATGGTACCACCCACATCCGACAGGAAGCGCTCAGTCTGGAACAGATAATGGACTAAATTCATGCAATATTGCGGTAAAAATGAACAAAAAATGAGGAAAATGTTTAACAGCTATGTAACATCAAGGATATGACACACACGCTCTCTCATGTTAAAGGGAGAGCAGGATTCGCTCACCTTTTCGCAAACGCTTGGTATCATCATTATTTGTCAGTGATTCATAAACACAAGCTGATGATATTTTGTTTGTTTGTTTGTTTGTTGTTTAACGCCGCACTCAGCAATATTCCAGCTATATGACGGCGGTCTGTAAATAATCGAGTCTGGCCCAGACAATCCAGTCATTGACATCATGAGCATCGATCCACGCAATTGGGATACGATGACATGCATCAACCAAGTCAGCGAGCCTGACCACCCGATCCCGTTAGTCACCTCTTACAAGCATAGTCGCCTTTTACGGCAAGCATGGATTTTTGAAGATCTTTTCTACCCGACTCTGCCTTTAGGAGGGAGTTCTTATGATTATGGGAATGTCTTAGTAACTTTTTACTTACATCATAAAAAGGTTCTTCTTTTATACTTTCAAAATTCAAGCTGTTGAAATAAACTTTTAGCTTTAAGAAAGATGATCTGAAAAATAAGACATAACATGAGCATGGTATTGTGGACATATTCTTCTTTCGAATGATGTTCAGAATCCATCTACATATTCACTGTCAACAGGACCAGTCGTATTCATTATCATATTTTGACAAAAAATCTGTGATTGTCTTCAGAGGACACAGGAAGCCATGCGTCTAAGGCGCCGCAATTAGCTGTGCAGAGTTGCGTCCCTTGTGTGTTCTAGAAACCTATGATCGTGGGTTCGAATCCCGGGGTCGCCTTGATTATGTTTCTACGTTTGCCATCACCATGACCGAGACGAAGTCACAACAGCGGCCATACTATTGAAAGTTTTCATATATTTTCAATTATGCCCAAATTTAATTTTTAAAAGGGTATATGTGTTCAGACAGGTGTTTGAGAACATATGACTTCAGTTCGGCAGTCAAAATTACTCACGTTCTGAGGTCGACGTTGTCAAAGTCGTAGGCGGAGTAGGTGCACTTAGGGCTGTAACTGTCAATCAAACATGCTTGTTGTTCTAACGTCCGCTGTGGAATGAGAAGAAACACCATTAGACAGATGAGTGAGTGAGTGAATAGGTATTAAGGCGCTTTTACCAATATTCCAGCAATATCACGTCGAGAGACACCAGTACAGCTTTATATTACGATAAACTTACTAAAACTAACCTTCTGCACGTAATGCACTTTTTGTACCATTATAAAAAATGAGATCGTAAAAAATATTCAACTCGTAAGTTCAGCGAGAGAAGTTGGCCTGCTAGCTGATGTAAACAGTAATGTTTATCACGTGACTACTAAGGGGAATACCCGCTCAATTTTTAAAACTATGGAAGCTGAGTAGGGCCATATCTTATATCGTTTATCGTGGTTTGTAGGACAATCCTGCGAGACGTAAAAGACAGTACCGGCCTTATAGTCCAACACAACTGAAAGAAGCCTATCAGGAAGTAGTTGAACGAGGTTCTTCTGTCTACAAAGCAGTCAGGAAGTACTCTGTGCCTGACCAGACTCTGAGGGACAGAACTAAAGGCATTACTTCCCCAGAATGTTTGTCCTCTGGACCAGGCCCATTATATTCCGAAGAAGAAGAAGCACGCCTTGTCGACCACATAAAGCTTATGGCCTCAGTATGGTATGGAGATACCAGGGCGCAGGTTATCTGTCTTGGAACTGACTATGCCATAAATCTCAAGAAACGTAGTAATTATTCCAAATCACTATCACTGCAGTGGTTTTATGGGTTGATGGGAAGATGGCCTGAACTGAAGTTGCGACGACCAAGGGGATTGTCTCAATTACGAGCCACTGCCACATCTGAGGATAGCATTAAGTATTTTTCTCAACTTGAAGCAGTCCTTGACAAGTATGACCTAAAGTCAAGCCCAGAGCTGATCTACAACGTCGATGAGAAGGGAATTAATCTCACACATTCTTCACCGCAAATCGTTGGATCTGCAGCCGAAGTTCTAATTGAAATCTGCCCAGAGAAATCCTCTACAGTTACTGTTTTTGGGATGCGGCAATGCATTGGGTCGGAAGATTCCACCTTTTTTCATTTTCCCTGGTTCACGCATGCGTGATGACCTCTTAGATGGTTCGACAGTTGGAACTTGTGGAACTGTTAGCGAGACGGGATGGTCCAATACAGACATATTTCAACGATGGTTGACAGGCCATTTTGTGAAGTATGCCAAAGTCGGAGGTGACAAGAAAACTCTGCTGCTATATGACGGCAACAGGTCTCACATCACCCCTCATCTGATAGATTACGCTGTTGACCAGGGGATAATCCTGTTTATTCTACCACCTCACACAAGCTACTCCAGCCGATGGATGTTGGGTGCTTTGGGCCTTTCACCAAGAATTTTCAGTTCAGAATGTAGGAAATGGCAGCGGTCAAATTCTGGAACAGTTAACAGATATAGTGTCTGTTCTTTGGCCTGTAAGGCATACGAGATTTCTCTGTCTGCCAGTAACTTGCACAGTGCTTTCAGGAAATGTGGTTTTTATCCATTTGACCCAACGGCAATTGACAAGTCATTCCTGAAGCCATCTACGTTTGCCAATCAACAGTTGGAAAAAGCATCAGAAATTTCAGTTACATGTCCTGACATCGTTGAACAGCCCTCAGATTCAAGATTTTTTGAAGATCATCTTCCTGTTATTACCATTAAGAAATCGAAGCCAAGACGTTCTATCCATAAGATCGTTGGTGGACAAGCAATTACGGAACCAGATATATCATGTCAAGTCACGGCTTACATCAACCAGTCCAAACAGTCAACAAACGGAGGAAGCAAGGCATCAAAATCAACTGCGAAGCCAAAGACAACTAAACCAACTACCAAGTCCATAGCAAGGATAAGCAGGACAGTATGTCATCCCAACAACCTCGACCATCTGGGATTGATAAGCTCCTTATCTCAAGCGACGATCAATCAGATTCTGAATCTATCAACGATGATGACGAAAAGTGTTGTGTATGCGGAAAGTTTCAGCCAGATGAACTGAGGCAATGTCCACATGTTGAATTCACTAAGTGGGGACAGTGCATGCATGGGAATTGTGAACACTGGGTGCATTTAAAATACTGTTGTGACATCTCCTTTCTTCGACGACATGATGTGTTTTTCTGTCCGTGTCACGGTCTACCTTGCAGACACCAAGAAGAATAACGAAATTTGTGATGATCATGATCATAAACTGTAAATAATCTGAAAATGTGTGTTCAAGTGACAGTTATTTCATATTTCATAATTAAGTACAGTGTTATCTGTATTTTGTTACGTTTGGAAGTGCCTTGGGAACATTACTTTCGATTCCAAAGAACTTTGACATTGTGGCATGTGCTAACCACCCGTAGCTTGACCCGATGAACTTTACCACGGAAACATATGACGTCACTACAAGGTGTGTAAAAATGGCCGCTATTGTACAGCAGCCGATACGGAGGCATTTGTGGACAAAATTATGTTTCCTTGTACTTAAATGGTATAAAGGTGAGTGTTCTAACGATTTATTTCACATTTATTGCTTGTCGAAGTCAGCGGGTTGGTTTATCGTAATGCTTTTCTTAATACCACGGAAACACGTGTCGCGAGGGTATAATATTTTGGGAAATATATGTGAAGCATTACGCAACGAGTTGACAATTGTTTTAGGTATGCCCGTTTGCGCTAAGACGGAACCCAGTCACAAAAATGGCCACGAGAGGGGCACGAGTCGCTATTCGGCTTGTCCCGGAATAACACGAGTTGGTGACGAATGGAGGGGCACGAGTCGCTATTCGGCTTGTCCCGGAATAACAAGAGTTGGTCATGAATGGGGTTGGTGGGGTCGCCTTGTGCCTTAAGCGTGCCGAAGACCCTTGTTCAATGCTTCACATGGGCACATTGAGTGAAACACATTCCTAAAGTCCCACACAGTTATGAAGCTAGAATGTTGCAAAAAGAGGAGTAGACCTACACCCACTCCCCCTTTTACACTACTGGAATAGTGCTAACAGTATGAAACACTTGGCCACTCACTCACTCATCATTCACCAACTCTGCAAGACACAGCCTCCTTATGGGAAATCTTCATATTAGTGTTGATACAGATAACTTATATCCATGCATAGATACGGGACCCGTGAAGATCCGGGGTAGAACAGGCATTCAGCAACCCATGCTTGCCGTAAAAGGCGACTATGCTTGTTGTATGAGGCGACTAACGGGATCGGATGGTCAGGCTGGCTGACTTGGTTGATGCGTGGCTCGATGCTCTTGATATTAATCACTGGATTGTCTGGTCCAGACTCGATTATTTACAGACCGCCGTCATATAGCCGGAATATTGCTGAATGCGGCGTTAAACAACAAACCAACCAACCATACATAAGAGGTGCGTTGCAAAGCGCCAGTCGCTTGCAAGCAATGTACAGCGATTCGCCTTTCAACGGGGCGCTAACATTCAGCCGATGGCAATCGTACCAATCGCTGACTGAGGTCGCTTCGTTCTCAAACCAAAAAAGGGGTGGTGGGGTAGCCTAGTGGTTAAAGTGTTCGCTCGTCACGCCGAGGACCCGGGTTCGAGTCCCGAAATGGGTACAATGTGTGAAGCCCATTTCTGGTGTCCCCCGCCGTGATATTTGTAGAATATTGCTAAAAGCGGCGTAAAACCATACTCCCTAACTCACTCAAAATAACTTGGGGCCGAGTTCGACAGCGGAACAAGAAATTCTTGACTGGATTAACAGGGAAATGAGCAAAGGCAGCTTAAACCAAATCATCCTAGTCTGCTCCACATCTTTCATCAGTTCGTCACCGAGCTTCTTCTATTACGTTCTTCATTAGGTCAAGGCCACCAAGCGGTAGTTGCGCCGCCATTTTGGAAGAGTGCGCAAGTGCTTCGAGCTGGTCCTTACCCCCGGATGAGCGATTAATTTGCTTACTCTAAACGATTCTTGGCTTGTAACGCCCCCAAGGTAAAACTTGCTGACAAATCCTGATTACAAAGGCAGGACTATTTCCCTGTTTCCCGATACTGTCCTAAAGCTCAACCCAGCCACACGACAATGAACTTCACGATAACAATCGTTATGAGCAAGTTAACAAACATTTTGCCACACCTTTTTACATTTTGAGGCATTAAATTCCGAGCGACAACAAACCCAGGTCAACTGTCTGACGTCTGTATATACTACCTACCACATGTGCAAGTACTGGCCACAGGCGAGATGAGACACTTGTTTCGAAAACCTTCTCGCTGCAACATATAAGTTTAAGTTATAAACAACTTACATATTATTTTATCACTACATAAAACTACCAGTTAGACCAAAGCAAACCCAGCGCAACGCCTTTTAAAAGTCTGTATTAGAGTAGGAGTTTAACGTTGCCTCAAGATTTTTTGTGCAAGTAGACCCAGGCAACATTCCACAAAGCGATCGCAGCGCTAAAACTCCAAGACTTTTACACAGACCGTCGTGGCGCTATCCTTTGTGAAACGGGTCCCAGACACAAGGAAGCCTGGTGCAACGATTCGTGTGAGCCTATGATAAAGTCAGGGAGTTATGAACATTTTTGCGCCAAGAACGCTTTGTGGAAAGGGCCCAGTTGGAATAACATAGGGTAGTATGTTTTTAAGTACAAGTTTTTTTCTTTTAAGGTCTGTGCCAAACGGCTTTAAAATGCTGTGGTATGTCTACACGTGTAACCAAGAACAATGAATAACGAAGCGTGGTTTATTTCACGATAAAAAATTGTTCTATTATGACGTCATTCCTCGAGATTCGAACATGCGCTTGTAACTCGATGACGCCGTATGCTGGACGACGTTATCTTTGAGAGAGGGGTGTCTAGTGAGTTGTTCCCCACATATTTAGCTGGGCAGATAACGCTGACAAATGCAGTGGCCGAACGATCGCATCCAAGAGCGGGAGAGATATGACAATCACTATTAGGGGAAAAGGTAGGGGTAATTGCGACAATATGCGGGAAATACCCACCTGTGCATAAAATGGACTTGTCCGACATTGCTGAGGTCCGATTCTATTGAGGGTGGTCATCATTATTAGAATAGGGGTAAATATTTTTTAAAGTTGATGGAGGAATAAGCATATACTCCGAAACGTTGTGTTCCTCATAATTAAAAATGTTGACATCTGTACATTCTCTTCCTTAAAGAGGCTGTACAAAATATTGATATCTCATATATGAAATAAACGACTCTCATGGATGTTTCTCCCTGCAGTGTTTTATTGTACGATAAACAACGACCACGAGTCGTTTATTTCTTAAATAAATGTACTCACGAACATGGGCTACCGCACTTGCAGATATCCGCGCCTTTACTGGTGTCCACCATATACTTGCCATATGCTCTGTCCTCACAGGCAAACTCTGAAGTAATAAAACATAAATATGTCTCCATTCCAGAATGATATACTGAAACCATTCGCAAACATAACTTTATCAACGTCCATTTGCCTTGTCAGCATCTTCGCAAGGATTGTCTTTCGCTAACATGTGTAATTTGATTGGACGGATATTGTCTACTTATCTGTGTCGGTGGTGCAGATCTTGATAGTGGAGTAGCTCCCCTTTCCCCGTCAACCTAACCATGTCTCCTTACCTGTGTCGGTGGTGCAGATCTTGATAGTGGAGTAGCACCCCTTTCCCCGCCTACCTAACCATGTCTCCTTACCTGTGTCGGTGGTGTAGATCTTGACAGTGGAGAAGCCCCCCTTTCCCCGCCTACCTAACCATGTCTCCTTACCTGTGTCGGTGGTGCAGATCTTGATAGTGGAGTAGCTCCCCTTTCCCCGTCAACCAACCATGTCTCCTTACCTGTGTCGGAGGTGCAGATCTTGACAGTGGAGTATCTCCCCTTTCCCCGCCTACCTAACCATGTCTCCTTACCTGTGTCGGTGGTGCAGATCTTGATGGTGGAGTAGCTCCCCTTTCACTGCCAACCAACCATGTCTCCTTACCTGTGTCGGTGGTGCAGATCTTGATAGTGGAGTAGCACACCTTTCCCCGCCAACCAACCATGTCTCCTTACCTGAATCGGTGGTGCAGATCTTGATAGTGGAGTAGCTCCCCTTTCCCCGCCAACCAACCATGTCTCCTTACCTGTGTCGGTGGTGCAGATCTTGATAGTGGAGTAGCTCCCCTTTCCCCGCCTACCTAACCATGTCTCCTTACCTGTGTCGGTGGTGCAGATCTTGATAGTGGAGTAGCACCCCTTTCCCCGCCAACCAACCATGTCTCCTTACCTGTGTCGGTGGTGCAGATCTTGATAGTGGAGTAGCACCCCTTTCCCCGCCAACCAACCATGTCTCCTTACCTGTGTCGGTGATTCAGATCTTGATAGTGGAGTAGCTCCCCTTTCCCCGCCAACCTAACCATGTTTCCTTACCTGTGTCGGTGGTGCAGATCTTGATAGTGGAGTCTGTAGCCTCACTCGCCGGTTGACACTTGCATGTTTCTATCACGATGTTTCGTAGACAAAACTCCCGACACGCCTTTAAAACAACACCGCATACCTCAGGAACTTGTAACGCAAAAGTTAGTAGCAAGGATTATAAGGTCACTACTAGGATCAATGTTTCTATTACCATGACCCCGGTAGTGACCTTACACATCTTGCTGCTAAGTTCGGCTTTACAAGCCCCTGTGCTATATACTGATCGCCAGGCGACCCACATACATCTGGGATTAGCAACACATCGAAAATAAAGACATTAAGATATCCTACTAAATACGCAATTATCAAGGATCAAGATTACTTTGTGTACATGATCACATTAAAATAGTTTTTGAAAAGGCTAGTTTCGTATCTAAGATTTTTACGTAACCGGAAATTTTTTTGAATCTGAAAGCCTCTTGCATCAACAGTTCACTATTCGAATTGTTGTTTTCCCAAAAGATATATTTGCTTATAACAGAGTGGTGTTGCATTGAAATAAAGATATTTTCTTAGGAAAATTCTTTACCAAATGTTAATTTACGGCCCGCTACTCTAGAAGGCTTACTCGCCGCGAATAGCTTCAAGACTGTTGGTGCGGCGTTCATCAACAAGCCCTCATCGATCACTAACTCTCTGTAAAGCCATTGGCTAGATTTTATTGATATATTTTCTTTTGTACTTGCACATACTCACCCGCTCTGAGTACGACACACCGAACTTCCTTTGGAAACCTGCGCTGTCATTGCAGGCGCCGTATAGGCCTCCAAGCCGCTCGATCTTTACCTGTGATTAAGTGAACTCTCAGTAACAATCATATAGTGTTAAGTGTAGGATAAAGCACGTCCGAGGGCTTTTATGATATTTAAAATCCGCATCCGCGGGACAAGGGTTTTAAATATCATCAAACCCCGAGGGGATTTTTTTTATCTAACTTATAAACCGAAAAAAGAAACTTAAACAATTATCAACATTTTTAGGTTTCAAACATACTTTCAACGAACCTTAGGAAAAGTGCGTAAAATATCTGTTGCTGGCATACGGTACTTGCATTTTGAAAAGGACAGTCTTAAAAGCATTGTGTTTTATCATTGCCTCTGTAGCCTAGTGGTACACTCACTGGGCTACAGATACGGAGGCTGCTTGTACGATCCTCGGGAATATAAAGAAACATTTGTCATTTGATTTTACATTTCCTTATATTGTGTTCAAATGCAAAATCAATTGAATCAATTGAATGCAAAATAAATTTCTAGTGAGAAACATTCATATGCTAAAATACAAATGGAGGTTGAATTAATAAAATCCCGGCGATATGAAAGCATATTATATAGCAAATATCGCCGAGATAATATATAAAATCCCAGGGATATTACTTCTCAGGTTTACAGAATGCAACATATTGTTACTTACATTAAAGAAACACATTTCTGTAAACTAGGATAACGGATATCCTAGTTATCAATGAACTTTTTTCTGAGTTCACCATAAAACGGACATATCAGAAAGAAATGATATTCAATTTCTACAGTGTTTAAATCACAAAACTGGCAAAAATCTATGCTCTCTTAATGTCCCCATACATCTTGCTGTCTCGATAAAGAGTTTGTGTGAGAAGGAGATGGAGATGGGGATGGGGATGGAGATACATATCAGAGACGCACCAGTTTCATTGCAATACTAGACTCAGAACCTGCTGAGACCGTGAAGCCCTCTGTCCCGGGAAAGGGGCGTGTCCCGTTGTCGTGTATCACCACCCGCAGGCCGTACCCCGTCTTGAAAGTATCGATGAAATCCTCCGACTCCAGATTGATAACCATCGATAAACCTGGTAGACACACATTGCATGTTGAACATACATTTATGACGATGAAATAATATAACGAGGTGCAAATGTACGAAAGCCTCATTGTGCCACTTTTAGTACCATATAAAATTATATATTTATTGAATCGAAATTTCTCGTTAATTCAAGTATTGTTTATTTTCTTGAAATTTCGATTTTTTCTCGTTACTTCGATAATATTTTCGTCATATCGAATGTCTTCTCATTATTTCAAGTTTATTTTCAAAAGCTCAAAATATCGAAAGTTTTCTCGTTGCTTCAATTATTGTACTTGTTATTTCAATTATTTTCCCGTTGCTTCGAATATTTTCTCGCTACCTCGATTAGTTTCTCATTTTTTCGAAATTTCGAGAAAATAATTGAAATAACGAGAAATTAATCGAAATAACGAGATCAAATTCGAAATTTCGGGTTTTTAAAATAAACTTGAAATAAGGAGAAATTATATTCGAAATAATGAGAAAAAACTCGAAGCAGAGAGAAAATATTTGAAATATCGAGAAAATAACAGTAGCAACCAGAAAAAAAATCGCTTCTCTGTGATAAACTTGAAATAACGAGAAGATATTCACAGTTAGAAGACATAAATTTCGACAAAATAGTTGAAGTATTAAGAAATTTCGATTTAAACAAATATAAATTAATACTAGCAAAGTGGTGCCATTAGGCTTTCGTATAATGGTGCCACTTATTTCAAATTTCAATTATTTGCATATTTTCTCGAAATTTTCGTTACTTCGAAATTTTCGTTACTTCGATTATCAATTCGTAATTTCTGTTATTTCACCATACTTCGAGTTTTTCTCTCGTAATTTCGATTATTCTCTCCGTATTTTCAAGTTTGTCTCAGAAAGCGAAAAATTCGAAGTTTTCCTCGTAGCGTCGATTATTTTCTCGTTATTTCAATTATTTCTCAGTACTTCGAGTATTTTCTCGTAATTCGCTTATGTTCTCGTTATTTCAAGGATATTTATTGTAAAAATTGTAAATTCGAAAAAAAGTTTTGTTGCTTCGACTATTTTCTCGTTATTTCGACTATTTTTCTCGTTATTTCAAGTTTATCTGAAAAACTCGAAAATTCGATTTCTTTTCTAGTTGATTCGATTATGTTCTCCTTATTTCAATCATTTTCTCAATACTTCGAAAAATAAATCAGTGCATCGACTATTTTCTCGTTATTTCGAATGTTTTTTCGAATATACTTCTGGTCATTTCAAGTTTATCTAAACAAAATCGACATTTCGATTTTTCTCTTGTAATTTCGATTATTTTCTCATTATTTCAAGTTTATCTCAGAAACTCGAAAATCAAGAAAAAATTTCGTTGGTTCGATTATTTTCTCCTCATTTCTATTGTTTTCTCAATAGTTCAAATACACTCTTCAAAAAAAGAAACGCACATGTAGAGTTTTAGTAAATTTATTGTACCTAATAAAGTCGGTATATTTAATAAAATTATTCAATATCATAGATACAAATATGAACTTTGGAGCTCGACAGTCATATGTCGATAGTCGTTGTACAAAGGCATTGAAAACTGTTCATTGTCATGTCACATAAGGCGACAAGGTAGCGCTGAACTCAGTACCTCATGTGGTGAGGTGAGGTGAAATGGGGTTTATCGTCGCGTCCAAGATTATTGCCCTTATATAGCGACGTGCATGCACGTGTATGTGTGTGTGTGTGGCTGCTTGTACTAGTCCGGACTGATGCCGATTTATAGTGCTAGCACACTGAGATACCATGCCGCGGTTCAACATGAATACCCCACTCAGACACAGTACACTGACTCCGAGCCGACCAGTCCTTGTTTTAGCCCTTTAATGCCGAGCGCCAGACAGGGTAACAACAAGTACCATCTTTTAACGTCTTTTGGTATGACGCGGCTGGGGATCGAACCCCGGACCTTCCGCTCTCCGGGCGGACGCTCTACCATTAGACCACGGTGGCGGTAGTACCTCATGTGACCGCCACGGGCAGCAATAACGGCTCTGCGTCTCTCAGGTTGGTTGGTTGGTTGGTTTGTTGTTTAACGCCGCACTCAGCAATATTCTAGCTTTATGACGGCGGTCTGTAAATAATCAAGTCTGGACCAGACAATCCAGTGATTAACATCATGAGCATCGATCCACACAATTGGGATCAATGACATGGATCAACCAAGTCAGAGAGCCTGACCACCCAATCCCTTGAGTTGCCTTTTACGACAAGCATAGTCGCCTTTTATGGCATGCATGGGTTGCTGAAGACCTATTCTACCCCGGATCGTCACGGGTCCACATCGAATGAACTAAGTATCTATACCGAAACGTCGCATCACAATAGAATAAATGTCATCCATAAAATATCTTGTCTTTAAACATCGAATGAGATTCGAACCGGAACGACGACATTGTTGATTTTGATTATCTCCTGCCAAAATAAACTGAACAACTTAATTAGATTTGTGTGGCCATTTTGCCAAATATGACCAAAAATCGAATGTGAGTTTTTAAAGTGTCACTTTATGTCCAGCCATTTTGATAACTCTGTTATATATTGTGTATTTATTGTATCTGCTCTTGTACCACCAATGGTGGTTTAATAAGAAATAAAGAATCTTAATGTGTAATATTGAGACGAAGAAGCTTGACGGACAAAACATTATTGTATTTCTTGCAACTGTGTGTATAAAATGATTGTCAATTGGTTAGAATTTATAAAAATTATTTTTAAAAACCCCATTTTATTCTTGATCTATCACCACCTTATTAATTCTGAATGTTTATTTTTTTCTAAATCGGAATCCTTCCCAAGACATCGTGTTCATTTTGAATGATAAGTGCTTTCTAATTTCAGATACGCATATATACTTGGTAGATGTGGATGAGTTATGTTTAACGCTGGAGTCTTGCTGTGTCACTGAGCTTGCAAATTTTCGAGCTTGGACAATCAAACAAGTCACCGAGTAGGACCACACCATCCATGGAATCATGAGCAACTATCCTCACCATCGTCACGCAGTCACCCAGCCTGACAACAGGCTCTTACAATCACGAGATCATGGGGAGCTATATTTCCTCTTAAATATGGAGCGTCAACGCCAGAGAATAGACAGTTTCGATTATCCACCGAAACAGATTCCATTTGACTTAAAATAGCGGTGATAATTATATGAATGGATCACTGAACATCAGTAAGTGAGTGAGTGAGTGAGTTGGGTTTAACGCCACCTTTAACAGTATTCCGGTCATATCGCGGCGTGTCAGCTTAATGTGGGAGGAAAGCCCGAAGTGATGCAGGTTTCAGATGTTTACCACTTCGGTGAAACCCACGAGCACGGGTATGGTGCTGACAAACCTAGAAACATAATCGAGGCGAACCGGTGATTCGAACCCACAATCATAGGTTTCTGGCGCGCCCAAGGGACGCAACTCTGCACAGCGAATCGCGGCGCCTTAGACGACTGGGCCTCCCGTGCACCTCTCTGAACGCGAAAAGAGTAAGCATGTCCTGCCCGCGAAGTTCGGGCGATGTGAACTCGTACCTGTCCCGGTTCAGTCCCGTCAGGGCATTTTAAATGTCGCAAGGAACATCTGCAATGGATATCGGATGGTCCTGCTCTCACTGTGTGTTATCGTATACCCAACCTAACCCGTACCCCGCTTTATGATATTTACCTGATTCTGGTCCACTCTTCGTGGCCTGGATCCCATTGTTTTTCAATGTGTAGCAGTTGCCATGCTCTTTAGATAGAAACGCCGTAAAGTTGCTGGAAAGCAAAATGTTGAACCATCTTCACAGAGAGATATATGATGTGCAAAAGACAAATCCACCGATTATGTTATCTCTGCGTCAATTCATGACATAATTATACAGTAAAACCCAGTCACTCTTCATCTACTGGGTTTTGTTTCACCAGAACATGCCATCAATGGGTGCATCAGGGCTCAGGTAATGTTTGTGTGCAAACTCACAATAGCGAACTACATATTTAATGAGCAATTAGCGAGTTCATGCATGTGTGAAGCTTGCATTCGATCAGCAAATAGATATATTTACGCAAGTAAAAAATGACACACTGGGTACACTATTAGGTTTTTGAACAATTCCATGCGTATTTGTACGCAAGCAACTCCAAATTGATTGGGTAACGGTGATATCTCTTGCGTATTTCACTGCACAAACATGCAGCTTATCTGGAGAGCTGGCATGCGCAGAATGAATTAGCTAAGAACAAATTGGAATATATATATATTCCAATTTTATTCCATTATATATGATACAATGATTGTCTAAAATGTTTTGCGCCAAACAAACGCAATGCACGTAATTGGCTAACTCAAATTAGTATGATGCCAATCAATCTGTGTAGTTAGCAATAACATCCTTGTTACATAGAGGCAATGTCTTCTTTACTATGTTATCATTACGTATATTTTCCATAACATATGTTACAACCTGTAACTGCAACTTCGTCCATTGATAGAGCACTCAATCAGCATGGTTTCAAGGTCATGGCCAACGAACTTCCGGAGCGTGCTACAAGTGAAGAGTTGGGGAAATTAAAAGAACCCTGTAACTACCATACGTTATGAAAGTATTCATGAAGTTTAGAGAATTTTCTCAAAATTCATTGTCCCAGAAAATGTTTGAAAAACACAATTGTGCTTCTGACTGTTGAAAAGAAATTGTGAACACACCATGCCATTTAGAAAGTGGTCAAATGTAACAAATGTTATATTTGAGATAACACTTTCTTGGTAAAGTACAGATTCTCGTACTTTTGAGGGTTGAATCCGGTCCGGGATTCGAACCCACAAGAAAATGTTGGCCACAAAAAGTACACATTGGCAAGCTACTTTTCGTAAAACAATATTTAGCTCATAGTTAAAATTTGAAACATATCTCGTTTTGCAGACGTACAATGTAGCTAAAACGATAGCTATACTCTCCATACAATTTGTGTTCCAAACATTTTCTTCTGAGAGATTCATATTGACTGCTTACTACAGACTAGTAAAAAGTGAAACTCGTCTTCTGTTACATTGTTTACACAATCTCAAGACCGTTGCCGACCCGTGAATATCAGGGTAGAGAATAGGTCTTCAGCACCCCATTCTTGTAAGAGGCGATTAACCGGATCGGGTGGTCAGACTCGCTAACTTGTTTGATGCATGTCATCGTATCCCAATTGCGTAGTGATGCTCAAGATGCCAATCACTCGATTGTCTGCTCGGTACTCCATTATTTACAGACCGCCGTCATATTGCCAAGTGTGACGTTAAACAACAAACAAACAAACAAACATGAATGTAGCCCTTACGATGATTCTCCTCCCAGATTGTCAGCGATCATCTCCTTCCTGACATACGCCTGGTCCAGACCACCCACTTCCTCCTCGTAACAGCCGTACTCGTCGCACACCAACTCCGTCTCCGTGAAGGAGGTGAGGTCCACTGTGTCGGTGAGGTTTACACAATCCTTCAGAAATCCAAAATGATAATAATCAGCCGAACACTAATTGTGGACAACGTTGGATCTCTTTACCAACTTCTTTAAGACAAGGTAGATGTTTGATATTAACATAGTCATGATCAGACAGTCACCTCCCAACTCCTTGGAACGAAACATACAAAAAATGAAGTTATGCGTGTCACAACGTTTGGAAGACTCTGAAGGACAACATATCTGAGGTGTTACGTCCCTCTTAACTACTTGTCAATAAATATAGTGCTGACGGACCACAGATCATTTTTACACATTGGGACCAACGGGAAACTGATCCACGCAGCAACTCTGAAAATAGGCAACCTTTGCACTGAGTTTGGTTTAACGCCGCGTTGAACAGTATTCCAGTAATTAGTATATCACAGCAGTGTCAGCTTATTATGGGAAGAAAGCCCGGAGTGATGCAGGTCTCAGACTCTTACCACATTGGTGAAACATACAAGCACGGGTATGGTGCTGTATTAGAAAGAGTGAGTGAGTGAGTGAGGTTTTACGCCGCTTTTAGCAATATTCCAGCAATATCACGGCGGGGGACACCGAAATGGGCTTCACACATTGTACCCATGTCGGGAATCGAACCCGGGTCTTCGGCGTGACGAGCGAACGCTTTAACCACTAGGCTACCCGACCGCCCTGTACTAGAAAGAGGACTCTGGGGCAAGGTAATATGCATGATGACCTACGTTACTCTGGTATTCCGAAGGTAACTTCAGGAGTTTCTGAAGATCGCAGCTGAGCATGTAAGCCTTGGACAACATGATGGGGTTCATGTTGCAGAGGGTGACGGTGGGGAAGGGGAGAGCAGTGAAGCCAAGTTTCACCGACGTCTTGATGGGGTAACTGTAGAACGTCGTGAAGAGCCGGACCAGTTGCATGATCATCACCGACGCGGCAGTCAGGAAGAGCAACGTCCACATCACCTGGAAACGCGTATATAAAATGATTTTGTTTGTTCAAGGCCGAAGTCACTAATCTCTAAAGCTATGTGAACGATATAAGCTAAAATATGAAAATAATCGAATCTGATCAGTCAATCCATTGATTAATCCAATGATATACATGTATGCTTATGATACAGTCGGAGTCGTGCAAGGTACTTCGATCTTAGCAGGCAATTCTTGTGATAATGGAAATATTGTTTTTTGTCGCTTTTATGAGCAAAGATCGGAGTACGATGACACTTTTGAACCAAGTAACCGAACCTGGCTAAAGCATATTTAACCTCTACGGGGTTTGTGTAAGAAGATCGACGCCAGTGGCTTTATATAATATCATCGGGAGAATCCACGATCTCACGATCGATGTCGTCCCCCCAACGTCATATATCATGTACAGGTACTGCACACTCGTATGACATAGTACAGTCGTAGTACTAAGTTCGCTTTTTAAAGCCCGCCCCTGAATAAACCCTGTGACGTTATTATTCACATGGCTTACCTCTGTGAAAGTGATGCAATATCGCGAGTTTCATCAGAAATGGAGTGAGTGAGTGAGGATTTACGCCGCTTTTAGAAATATTCCAGCAATATCACGGCGGGGGACACCAGTAATGGGCTTCACACAATGTACCCATGTCGGGAATCGAACCCCGGTCTTCGGCGTGACGAGCGAACGCTTTAACCACTAGGCTACCCGACCGCCCCATCAGAAATGGAAACATAGTAGTACCTCATTATCATGATAAAGATTTCCATCCGACCATTGTCGTGATAACATTCAAATGGGGATCAGGTGTGCATAGTGACTTCTTATGAATAATACTGGGATGTGCACTTCTTGAAAAACCACGTCACGGATGTGACCTGGCTGTTTTGGTGATGCCTCGTGCTTGGTCAGATGCTAGCAGCCAGCGGTTTGCCGTATCCCGGCCTCTTACAACCTATCGGATGTAGAGTTAATGACGATAGTAATGGCGTCAACTCGAAAACTATACCATCGCTTACCTTGAATAGAACTCGCGGCGACGCATATATCTTGGGTATTCCCATGAACGAGGTACTTTCCGCGAAGTACGTGAAGAACGTGACACAATGGCCAGGAGTCTTTTCGTTTTCCTTATCATTATCGTTGATGGGTTGTACTTGCATTATCTAAAAGGAAAAGAAAAGTATCAGTATGGTGTGGTGAGTTCGGAGAATTTTGTGTCTTTGAGCTCAGCAATACGAACATGAGTATCGATCAGTGATATGAAATTAGAGCTCAATACCATGACATTAGCACCCATACCATGAAAGTAACGGTCAATGCCATGAAAGTAGCACCCATACCACTAAAGTTGCACCCATACCATGAAAGTAACACCCATACCATGAAAGTAGCGGTCAATGCCATGAAAGTAGCATCCATACCATGAAAGTAACGGTCAATGCGATGAAAGAACGCCCATACCATGAAAGTAACGGTCAATGCCATGAAAGTAGCATCCATACCATAAAAGTAACGGTCAATGCCATGAAAGTAGCGGTCAATGCCATGAAAGTAGCACCCATTCCACTAAAGTAGCACCCATACCATGAGAGTAACACCCATACCATGAAAGTAGCGGTCAATGCCATGAAAGTAGCATCCATACCATGAAAGTAACGGTCAATGCGATGAAAGAACGCCCATACCATGAAAGTAACGGTCAATGCCATGAAAGTAGCATCCATACCATGAAAGTAGCGGTCAATGCCATGAAAGTAGCACCCATTCCACTAAAGTAGCACCCATACCAGGAAAGTAATACCCATACCAGGAAAGTAGCGGTCAATGCCATGAAAGTAGCGGTCAATGTCATGAAAGTAGCACCCATACCACGAAAGTAGCACCCATACCAGGAAAATAACACCCATACCATGAAAGTAGCGGTCAATGCCATGAAAGTGGCACCCCTATCATGAAAGAAGCGGTCAATGCCATGAAAGTAACACCCATACCATGAAAGTAGCGGTCAATGCCATGAAAGTAGCACCCATACCATGAAAGTAGCGGTCAATGCCATGAAAGTAACACCCATACCATGAAAGTAGCGGTCAATGCCATGCAAGCAGCACCCATACCATGAAAGTAGCGGTCAATTCCATGAAAACAGCGACCAATATCCGTTAATATCATGTTGGTTCTCTGGAATAGAATAATTACACTCATCTGTATTCCTATATTGGATATCCTACCAAAACCTGCCGACGTGTCAAGACTTCTAAAACAGACTAAAACCAATAAACTGTATGCAACTTATCCCTTGTTTGTCCGTTGCCTTGTTTGTTTGTTTGGGTTAGTAGGCGAAGGAATAGTTTATCAACATGTACCATGATGCCAACACATGTTAAAACAGGAAAATAGTTATTGATAGTCAAATATAACATCAGGCAATATTGAAAATGTGACAATATTTATTCATCTCTTTAAACAAAGATTACTTGATAACCTTCAACAATCAGGATGGAATTCCACCAGTAGTATATCTGATAGCTTTTATTATAAACATTTTAAATCATCGTTAAATGTAGAAAAAAAGTCTCAGACTACCCATTCCAGTACACCTGAGAATATGTATGACTCGTTTCAGATGTAGCAAGTTTAAACTTGCAGTTGATTTTGGGAGATATACAAATGTCCCATACACTGAACGATTATGTAAATATTGTATAGAAAATGATAGATATTTTATTGAGGATGAATTTAATGAATTGCTTGTTTGTGAGCGTTATTAAGCTCTAAGAAGTATCAAACTGTAACATCTTTTACGGATATAATTTCATCTGAAGACTTTGATTTTGTAATTAATATAATGTCTAACGGCAAAGAGAAACGTAATCGATTACTACATTGGCATGCGTCGTTCATGTCTGTGGTCTGGGCCCATGACCTTTATGCTGAAAAAGGGGCGGTCAGGTAGCCTAGTGGTTAAAGCGATCGCTCGTCACGCCGAAGACCCGGTTCGATTCCCGACATGGGTACAATGTGTGAAGCCCATTTCTGGTGTCCCCCGCCGTGATATTGCTGGAATATTGCAAAAAGCGGCGTAAAACAATACTCACTCACTCACTCATTATACTGAAAAAACGGTCCGTCTATAACATCAAACTTTTGACCTATGAGACACACTGTACAAACAGTAAATAAACAATATTGAAAATTGATGCAACTGCTGACAGATGGGTCCAACGCATGGGGCCTTCAACAATACCCAGAGGATAGTGAGGATAGTGTGTGTCATTTAACGCCGCACTCCACAATAATCCGGCTATATTACGGTGGTCTGTAAAAACATCGAGTCTGGACAAGACAATCCAGTGATTGGCATCCTGAGCATCGAGCTACCAAACTGGTATACAATGACATGCATCAAACCCGATCCAGTTAGTCGCCTCTTACAAGCATGGGTTGCTGAAGACTTATTCTCTACCCGGATTTACACGGTCAGCAACGTGAGAGTAGTTATTTGTTTTAGCTACATCTGCAAAACCAGATATGTTTTAAATTAAAACTATGAGCTAAATATTGTTTTACGAAAAGTAGCTTGCAACAATGTACTTTTTGTGGCCAACAATTTCTTTTCAACGGCCAAAAGCATGGGTTGTTGAAGACCAATTCTAACCGCATCGTCAAGCAAGACACATATGCATTTTGTTATTTGTTATACCCACAGCACCACACAACTTTTGGATTCGTAACGCGTGTCACCTAAATAAACTATTTCTCCATCTTTCTTCCTTTCTCTCTAGTTCATCATGTAGTCTGCAAAAGTCCTTCATCACCCCAACCCACTACACCCACATCAACCACTAAAGTACTTAGGGGCGGTCGGGTAGCCTTGTGGTAAAAGTTTTCGTTCGTCACGCCGAAGACCCGGGTTCGATTCCCGACATGGTACAATGGGTGAAGCCCATTTCTGGTGTCCCTCGTCGTGATATTGCTGGAATATTGCTAAAAGCGGCGTAAAACCATACTCAATCACTCACTTAAGTCCTTACAACCCGCCGCCGATATATTTTGAGCACCATCAGTTTTGACATAGTTAATAAGTCATTCTATATACACTTCCTGGTCATTGTAGCTATAAATCTACGTAGTAGCGAGTGTGAGTGAGTATGGTTTTACGCCGCTTTGGGCTTCACACATTGTACCCATGTCGGGAATCGAACCCGGGTCTTTGGCGTGAAGAGCGAACGCTTTAACCACTAGACTACCCGACCGCCCCACGTAGTAGCGAATATTCCCGACAGTCACCTCCCCAAACCTGCATATCCGTTTTGACAGTCGCGGGTACAAACGCTGCTTCTATTTCCCAGTAGATTTAATAAATATCAAGCGATATTAAGTTGCAAAAGTATAACGCATGTGATCAATCAACTGATATTGTATGTTTCAAAATAGATTAAGTTGGACTTACATGTGTCTTGGTTACAGACGTACAAGCCGTTCCTTTCCACATGCGCGTCAAAGGTGGCATTGGTCACTTGAGGAATCCCGTTCCACGTATTTGATAGATTTGATAGGTGGTTAGGGGTCGTCCCCCTCGGCGCCCTTTGAAAAGTGTACGTATGCCGACACGTGGTGTAACGGTTGAAGATTGAATAGCGGCCGACTATAGTCTGAATACTAGCAATCTGAACTCATTTTGCCCGTGTCTATTTGTCAGTAAATATATGACAGATATGCAAGGCCCCTAATCTCCCCCCCCCCCCCCCCCCCCCGGCTGCCGGGTTAGTTGGATTAAGCCGGCGTTTATACGGCTTATCCTCGCAATGCCCGCACGTAACTGTTGCTTAACCACTTCTCTGTTTTTCGCAAGCATGGAGATCGTGTCAAGGCATGTCAAGGATACAATAGGATATTTCAATATATAGCGATATGTCAAATACAAATTTAACGGGGATAGACATTTTCTTATTCATTTATCGATTAGTTTGATATGTACAAAATCCATCAATCAAAATACACACTTAACATAACAGCACCTACGGAAAAAGACCAACATAAATTTTAAAATGGTACGGGTAAAATTAACACTATACATATACTACTTTCTTTTTAGATAACAATATTTACGTTTACAAAACCAATATAATGTGACACAGTGTCATGATCTATTTGGATAGTTGTCTGGTCGCACAGGGGTTGACAAGGGCGATCTGCAGGATGTCAATCACCCTATATTTCTCCTTTTTGGTGTTTTGTTGGTCATCGTTGGTGTTGATGGTTGCAGAACAACCTGATGCACGTTCAGTGGATACTGTTTGTGCGCCTGTTCTTGATACGACACTTGTGTTCTCCAAAGTTGATTGGTTGGTTTAACGCCGCACTCAGCTGTATTCCAGCTATATGACGGCGGTCTGTAAATAATCGAGTCTGGACCAGACAATTCAGTGATTAATATCATGAGCAACGATCCACGCAATTGGGATCGATGACATGCATCAACCAAGTCAGCGAGCCTGACCACCCGATCCCGTTAGTCGCCTTTTACGACAAGCATAGTCACCTTTTACGGTAATCATGGGTTGCTGAAGACCTATTCTACCCCTGAATCTTCACGGTTCGTTCTCAAAAGACTAAGTTGCAACCACCGCGTTTGTTCGAAATAAACCGAACGTAAACCCAGCCATAATGACATGACGACGAATTCTAAACGCAAAATAATTTGAGTGGATTACAGTAAATATCAGTTCACTTGTCAGTTAAGAATGAAGTCAGATCACTTAAGTCATTTGAGTGGCGTTTCGCTTGTCACTTGAAACTAGAGTGAATTCAGTTGCAGCGTTTACCATGGCCTCGTGGAATCAAAAACGATGGTGTTTGTGGCTGGTACTACACTATTGTCGCCAATCATTATGGCATGCCCATACTTGTCTTTGATGGCTACAACGAGAACCCATCAACAAAGGATATGATACATCTGAGGAGAACCGGGGATGTAGTTGGAGCTACTGTAAAGTTTGACAGTGACATGATCATTCAGTCCAAGAAGGAACAACTCCTTGCGAACACCAAGAACAAACCAAGATTTCTCATTCTCCCGAGTGACAATATGAAAGAGAAGGGATTCACAACTGTCCATGCAGAAGAAGATGCATGCAAAAACAGCTGTAGAACAAGCACAGACATCACCCAGTGTAGTGATTGGACAATATCCTGATTTTATGGTTCTGCTTTGTTACCATACAAGAGAAGATCCAAATGACATTTTTTGTTCGCAAGGAATTGTTCCTTCTTGGACTGAATGACCATGTCACTGTCAAACTTTACAGTAGCTCCAACTACATCCCCGGTTCTCCTCGGATGTGTCATATCCTTTGTTGATGGAATATTTGTATGTTTCTTGGAAAACGCTACCTAATCGTCATAGTAAATGTGACTAAATTTGGAAATGTCCGCCCATTTCGATGGTGACTTTGATATGATGTAAAGGGGGGCTTGTCAAATACGAAGCTCAACTAAAAACATTTCTCTTGTAATTTGTTGTTGGTCTATCGTTATTTTGACCTGACTAGTGAGACGGCCCCTGTAATCCTCTATTGTTGAACCAGTCAACATGTTTAATTGTTTTAGCAACCTTCAACAATAGAAGCGGCCATTCCGGAAAGACCTCGATATTACAGTTACCTCGGTAATCCGCCACTACCTTGGGGATTCTCGTAATGCCGGATCCTGATGTTTATGACATGGAAGCAGCGGAGTGTAGTCACCACCTCTATAACACCTAGTGGCTGTAGTCACGGTCATTTGTGTGCTAAGTTGATTACCCGTAGTTTACCCTGAGAGATTATCCGCACGAGAGTAATTCTTCTACTAAGCTTTATTTTGCAACATACATACATAGAATTGTAAAATCACGATGTTGTTGTAGAAGACATACAAAATACAGTGAATTAATATTTTTGAAAAAAAACATTTAAGTACATGCACAATAGTTGTAGTGTAGACATGAAACACAATTGTATTCTGTCGAGGCGCCCAAGACAGTATTTGATGCTGATTGAAAGGCCTCACAACCATAGTCTATTTCTGATCTGATAAGTTATTTGTAGAGGTCCAGCTGAGTGTCCCTCGATGTGCCCCAACATGTGCCTGAAATTGCCCGTAATAAGTTAAGGTCTTTTTGACATCTGTTTTCCACATATTCTTCATGTTTGCGCCAAGTGATGGTGTTGATCAAGGATCACCCACAGAAATATTGCGGATTTTTCGAATTTGATTGGTTTGACTTTTATGGAGACGCGGGATATCATAGCATTTTTCCCCTGCGTGTCTCAATATGTATAACATTGTTGACATGATAATGGTTTGTTGTATCTCAATATGTATAACATTGTTGACATGAGAATGGTTTGTTGTATCTCAATATGTATAACATTGTTGACATGAGAATGAGTTGTTATGTGTCAGTATGTATAACATTGTTGACATAAGAAAAGGTGGTTATTGTGTCTCAGTATGTATAACATTGTTGACATGAGAATGGGTTATTGTGTCTCAGTATGTATAACATTGTTGACATGAGAATGGGTTATTGTGTCTCAGTATGTATAACATTGTTGACATGAGAATGGGTTATTGTGTCTCAGTATGTATAACATTGTTGACATGAGAATGGGTTATTGTGTCTCAGTATGTATAACATTGTTGACATGAGAATGGGTTATTGTGTCTCAGTATGTATAACATTGTTGACATGAGAATGGGTTATTGTGTCCTAGTATGTATAACATTGTTGACATGAGAATGGGTTATTGTGTCTCAGTATGTATAACATTGTTGACATGAGAATGGGTTATTGTGTCTCAGTATGTATTTAAAACATTGTTGACAAGAGAATGGGTTATTGTGTCTCAGTATGTATAACATTGTTGAGATGAGAATGGGTTATTGTGTCTCAGTATGTATAACATTGTTGACATGAGAATGGGTTATTGTGTCTCAGTATGTATAACATTGTTGACATGAGAATGGGTTATTGTGTCCTAGTATGTATAACATTGTTGACATGAGAATGGGTTATTGTGTCTCAGTATGTATAACATTGTTGACATGAGAATGGGTTATTGTGTCCTAGTATGTATAACATTGTTGACATGAGAATGGGTTATTGTGTCTCAGTATGTATAACATTGTTGACATGAGAATGGGTTATTGTGTCTCAGTATGTATAACATTGTTGAGATGAGAATGGGTTATTGTGTCTCAGTATGTATAACATTGTTGACATTAAGATCAGTGAATCAGTGACTCTCTTTTTAAGATCAGTTTGTCCAACGGGGTCTAAGGTGACGGATGAAGAATAATAATCTTCATTTAGAACAAATACAATACCTAAACTAAACAAACTGTAAACGAACTGACATCAGCATAACATTCTGATCGTTCAACAACAGTAAGCAAAGATCCAATGATGATGTCCAAAAGACTGACCTTTCTTCATCTAAATGTCGTGAGAAATGCATCTCGGGCCGAAAACAAAAAGAGAAATATGCTGACCCATGACACCTAAAATTGATCTTTGGGCACATATTGCACACATACACCTGGACTGGTCCAAAACGTGGACGTGTTCAAACGTTAACGCGTGAAATGTCAATCATATCGTCAACCAGTCACCAATAACTACCGTGACACGTGTCATAAATGGTTACCTGAATTGTCTTTCTCATAATCTTCATCATAATTTTCTTTAAATTTCGATGTGAACTGAATGTCAGCATATTGAACTGGTATGGTTTTATTATATCCATGGCGAACAGTATGTTTAAGCTAACTGCCATGTCCAAACCTCAACCCCATTCCACATGCTGGGATTTTGTATGGAGACTAGATATTTCTTCAGCTTCATATGCAAAACACGATATTTTTTAATTTAATTAAAATAATGAGCCTAAACTATTTTCTTAAAAACACATCTTGCATCAATGTAATTTTTGTGGCAGAATTTATTTTTTTTCTATCAATCTGAAACATAATTTTTTTTTTCAATATATTATTTCAGTAAACTCAAATGGTCGGTCCCTAACCAAATATTACCAGGCAGACTGGCTACATCGCAGAAATAGTACCAGACTATTTTTATAAGTATCCCTTGTAATGAAATTGAACTACTGAGCTCTGAATATATTGTGTGTGTGTGTTTGCTCCTAGGCGGACATAGGTCATCCTATTAGTAGCCTAGAGACATTGTGTATCACAAATGTTTTGTCATATATATATTGTTCTAATAGGTTCCATACAGTCCTTCAGTTATATCACGGCGCGTCGGCTTAATGCGCATACACACAAACCTAAATCAGAGACTAAAATAAATACACTGAAAGGAAAACCTAAATTACACAGTGAGAATTACACAAACTTTTGCAAATCGAGGATCTTGTCGCAAAGCCATTGTCTGAAATTGTGACCTTACCAGTGTACGTCAGCAGCAACAGCAACTGCGATCCTGGTCATGCATTAAAACATCACAGCGGGTCCAGCTTAGCTGTATCACAGATAACAGGGAGGAAACGTGCCAATCAGGGAATGTAAAACTCCAGAGAACAATCAATGCTTCCAGTTCAATCCCAACCGTAAATATAAATTACCAATGCAAGAGAATAAACAGTCTAGATGGTCGGCCGAAACAAATTCCATTTGGCGTAAGG